ATAGGATGCTAATCTGTGTCGATCGCGGGAGGTGGGTTGTGTTGGGAAAGTTGTACGCGAAGAGAAAGGCTCCTCCCACGTTGAAATTGGTTAATGTGACCCCATTGTGACAGAGGTTACCCTGGAGCTGAGATCGAGAATCAAGTCGCCGTGTGCTGTGGAAATGATGAAGGAAGCGTAGGTGAGTCCGCGGATGTCAATCACTCTCTCCTGAAGCTATCTCAAAAACGCGTCGGGCGCGGCTGGTCGGCCTGGCTTCGGCCGTCGCGGCCCGATCCCCACCATCACATCCCTCTCTAACGGGAATATAGCGTCTCGGGCAGGGTCGGCCACTGGACCAACTTGGGTTTCTGAGATGGCATCACAGTAGAGGCAATTGACGTGGAGTCTGTGTGCATGTCAAACCTCTAATTATCGCCGCTCGCGGCGATACTTACCTGGTGGCCGTCTCGAGAGAGCACCAACGCCGCCAGCCTGAGACCCTCGCCGTGACATACTACGAGAAGGTCGTGGGTGTCCTTGGTGGTGAAGCCCAGACCAAGGACATCAATAGGGGGTTGCGTGCATGCATTTGCTATGGGTAGGCCCGTTGGCGAGACTCTGGTCGGGAACAATAATCGAGAGATGGCCACTGTGGTCTTCTAAGAATGGCATGAAGCTCTGACGGTCAAAATCGAATCTTTCTATGATGGCGTCTTTCCTGCGAAAATCAGCGCGTGTCCAGTGGAGAAGATCGGCACGTACCAGTTCTGATATACTTCTCGAAACCTATCCGCCGCCATCCAGTTTTTGATATAGCCCGGGGAGATGCCGAGAGACACCACACGTCGGGAGATTAGGCATGTGGCGAGCGTATTCCTCTGACTCCGGAATCGTGTCAGCTGCTTATTCGCCTGGGCTATGAGGCTATCATCCTCCCATGATTAGCGTCGGAATGCTGCATTCTCCTTGGATGTCAGACGTGAGAATCAGATGTGAGTTGATGTTAAACAGAGTACTGACTCGAATCTAGTGAGGATATTTATATTTTGGCTTCCATACCGATCTTATGCCTCTCCTTTGAAACGTTGAGCAACGGTGATCAATTGCCATCATACAGAGGCAACAATCTGAGTGGTGAGAAGGAAACTTCACTCGCTTACTTCAGATTCTACATTTTATATTCACCCCAAAAAATGTTAGAATTAGCCTTTTAAGGTCGATAAGGTGTTTATGACTTCGTTCATTCTGAGTTGTCTCATTTGTTTTTATCTCTTTTCAAAATATATCGTATTGTATGCAATAAGAAGACCAACATCATTTAACAGGCCACCGAATCTAGAGGTTGCTCACTACAGTACAGCTCGCAGGGGCAGGTTAAGCTCTTCCTTAAGAAGGATACCATATGCATCTGTATCAATGTCTTTTTGGAAACGGTGCAGTCAGAAATATTTACATGTAAGCCCTGGAATCGTGGTAAAAGCTTTAGGACTAAGATAGGAATATTGTTATTAAAGGGCCTGTCATGCAAAAAGATGGAGAATGAATACCGCCTGATTACACTTGGTCCTTTTTAGGACAGCCTTTACTTGGCTTGAAACGTATGCCAATATCCCGAGCTGCTTGACAATATTGATATATGGCGTTGAAATGGATCACTTCTATCAAAAATAGCATATAGGGTTCACTGCGTACCTATGTTTACTGAAGCTATCCTGTAATAATGTAGTAAATTGAGATAGACGTGCATTGGAATTTGAGGTTAGAAGTTTTCTAATATATAAGAATACCCCTCCAATTCAGATATGACAACCTTTCCTAAGCTGTATTAAACATAGTCCGTAGCGCCTCCACGATATACAGAACATTGTACGTCTACTTGTCGCCTCTGGCAGAAGTGGACCGCGTAAGGAAGGTATAAACTAGAAGAGTTCTGAACGCTTCTGGGATTTGAGAGGCTCTTAGTCGTTCTACGAAAGCTTCGAGAGGCATTTCGTATCGCTTAAGTATTTCTAAAATCACGCTATTAATTCACATCATCCAAGGACATTATATTGACCGTACCCTGCTATCTAAGATCTGTTAAGGCGCGGTCGTTACGTGTATGTTGACCGGCGAAGCGCTGGCGGCGTGCTAGACTCCGCGAGCCGGGACGATCCTCTGGTAAGTCGAGCTGACCGACGGACCCCGTCTTCCTCGCCATGTCTTATCAACTGCCCTTGAAGAAAATGAATGATCCGTAGATTGGATGCTGCTTCAATAGCCTTCCGGTAGTGGCACACGTTTCTCGCTCGATGGTCGCGGCAAAGACGCCTGATAATATGATCTATTCCATGACGGGCTGCCAACTCTAAAGTTGACTCTCCATATTGATTTCTACCCGTGACATCTAGTCGATCGTCCTTAAGCAATAGCTCCACAATATCCAAGTTCCCATGAGAGACAGCCATATACAGTGCGGTGACCTCAAGAGAGGTCTTGGTATTAACATCCAGTCGAGACCCTTGTTCGAGGAGCAGCTTTGCAACCCCACGGTATCCGTTTTCGATCGCGATGAATAGAGGAGACTTGTGCCAGTAGGTCTGATTGATATCGACCTTTTGAAGAGAGACCAGTCGGCGGACAACTTCTAGGTGCCCCCTCTCGGCAGCAAGATAAATGGGTGGTGCGCACGATACATTTAATTCTAGATCACTCCTAGTAAGAAGGAGTTCCATCATCCGTAGATCGCCTTAGCCCGCTACGTAGCTGAGGACTGTCCAGCCCTGATCATCGCAGATATTTGGGTCCAGTGAATCCAGCTCTATAAGCAGAGACGCGAAGTGGATGTCTCTATTTTCAACCGCGAAGTGAAGAGTAGTCTTTTGGCCAACGCCACGCGCATTAATGTTGGCCGGCTCCTCAGCCAAGATCTGTAACGCGACGGATCGGTGATTTCCACGCGCGGCCTCGCAGAGAGGTGTAGCCCCTTCGCTGTCACAAGATGAAATGTCAATACCAGGGGTACTTAATAATAGCTGAGTAGTTGACTTATGGCCATAAAATGCAGCAAAGTGTAATGCTGTGCGGCCCCCTGGGTCAGTACTATTAACATCCGCTCCATGGCCCAACAACAGCTGAGCGACGTCATCATGCCCGTGGCTGGCGGCTTGGTGCAACAAGGGCTGGCCGTACCTGTCTCTGACATGGAGTTCAGCACCATCTTCGATCAGAGTTTAAGCAATTTCCTTCAGGCCAACGTCGACGGCTATGCAAAGCGGGTGGTCTTCGGCATTCACGTCTACCAGTCGAGGTTGTGAAGGACAAGCTCGGGAATCATGCAGAAGCATGTTGGCAATAGCTAAATTCCGTTTAGAAATCGCCAGGTTGAGAGGGGTGGTTCGTTGGTAGTCTGGCATCCATATTTTGCTTTGCAGGTCGAGCAGAAGTTGTACCAAATCCTCATCATCACTGTCGACAGCATACCAGATAGCAGTTCGATTCTTGGAATCCATACAATTCACTGATGGATTGAAATGTCGCAATAAAACACGCGCCATGGATAAGTGTCCGCATTGCAGAGCATATAGCAGTGGGGTCTGCTTTTGGTCATCTTGCCAATTAACGTCTGCCGCACTTTCCAAAAGAGTTCGGATCATTTCCTCACTTCCATTTTGAATGGCGTGGAAAACAGGCGTCCGAGATCTGTTATCTGTCGTGTTGGCATTTGCTCGATATTCCTTTAGCAAACGATTTGCCAGAGCGATAGTGTTGTTTTGAGCGGCCCAGATTAACGCGGAGCTTTCTTGACGGCGAACATTGAAGGTGTAGAGACACGGGAGGAAGAAATCTTTTGAAACCCTGTTCACACAAGCCATCGCAAATAGATCTCGCGATGAGTTGAAGAATTCCGAAACGTAGAGAAGAATCTCTGGAGGGAGCTGAAACAGCTTGTTCGAAGTGTCACATCTGAGATTTTGCGACATTTTCTGGATTCAAGATGGTACCAAGTTCGAATTCAAGATTCCAAATGGTAGTCAAACTAATCGCAAAACGTATCGGTGGAAGAAATGGTCGCTCTTATATCGCTTGTTCGGATTCTGATGCATCATCCGAGCTTTCTGGTTTAGGCGAGCACGCTATTCTATGGATCTGCAGCGGCAAACTATAGGCTCCCGGGAGTCTATGGATTCCCAGGCTCAAGAGGAGCGTTCATAGGAACTTCGGTCGCGATCCTGGAGGGAAAAAGGGGTAGAGCGTAAGCTGGCCTCCAGAGCTACATAGACCGTCAAATCAGCGTGCCTCTAATAGATAGCACCCTCGTGCCCTGCTTGTTCTTGTAATGTGTGAGACTCTGCCATGGCGCGCTCAGCTTCACCCAGTCCTCATTGGAGTTTTCTCCTCCACTTCCCCAAATTTGCTAATTCTCGTCTCCAGTCACTGACATTAGCCTCGATAGTAAAAAGTATTCCTGGTTTGAATCATTGAATTAGCGACGTTAATTTAAAATTGAAGCTTAAGTGCTTGAAATCGCTTACTATGACAGTTCCCTTGTATATTTTGCTGGTATACCGGTATGCACTTGACAGACCTTGCTGTTGAGTTTGTTGGTAGCGAGAGAAAGAATCTTTCGCCTTCTTCCGATGAGGCAATTGGGAATTCATCAATAGCATTTATATATAATCTTTGGCGCACTATCCATTCCATGTGCTTCCTAGTGAAAGTGGCTCTAAATATCTAACTAATGACTTAAATCCTACTACAGTCAACTCCCGCTTTCAGCACACCCCGCCGTGCAACAGAATTTACGTGCCTAATGTGAATTGTGCCCAAGGTGGTAGGATGACTAATATTCTTGGATAACTGATCGGCGTGCATAATTTCCTATTTAGGAAGTCCAGCAATCATACAACGTCCTCTGCTTCTTTCCATGCATCTGCAGCCTATTAAAAAGACGTTCTATATCCTCCAAACGACGGATATCTTGCTCAGTAGTGCCCTCTTGATGCTGAGCCCATAGTATAGCATTCTGAATGCTATTAATTGCCTCAGTGCTAGATGGCACATCCACTGGTGGCCCAGATATATATTCATCATCCTGCGCACCATCATCATGACCGCTATTAGAGAAATCAGCGATTATATCGGATAAATCAGGCTCTGCAACGTCATTTTCGTCTGATGGGTTTAGGAATTCATCCAAAGACATAACTTCCTGCGCATCCCCGCCTGAAGGAATCCGCTCGATTAAGCTCTGATATAGAGGCCTAAGTTCAAGCGATTCTAGCTTAGGCGTCTCATTAGTGCTCGGACAAATAATCGTGCTTTTTTCAAAGCAGTTCTGAATTGTCTGATCGAGCACGTTATTACGCCAGACCTGGGTAATCCAGTGGAGGGTATAATATAGGCTCATTCTCTCTCCAGGATTGACACCACGATCAATCATATTAATCATCTAGGTTATCCATTTCTTCCGATAATGGTGCTTTAGATTCCGGATGATTCCTTGATCTAATGGCTGATAAACCGACGTCGCATTTGCCGGAAAAAAGAGCACCTTAATATTAGACGGCGGTGGCGCATAGTCAAGGGCAGATAGATGCGCGCTGAAATTATCCAGTAAGAGAAGGACACGTCTTTGCTTGCCAATATGCTTATAAAACGCGCGGAGCCATTCGCCCATAATATCACCGCGCATCCATGCTTTCTTATTCCAGCGCCAGACGCATCTAATCGCTCGTGTATTAATCTTCCGAAGCGCGCGCGGCGTCTTTGCTGTACCAATCAACCATAGTGGCATTCGATCTGAACCAGTAGCATTCGTCGCAACTGCTATAGTGATTCGGGCCTTATCTTGCGTCCGACCGGCCTGGCTTTGCGTCGATAGGCCACCATTCGGCATACGACGCCAGTAAAGACCAGTTTCGTCCATATTATAGATATCCTCCTTCTGATAATGGCCGCAGATCGTCCGGAGGGCTTTTATATCTTCGTGTATTGACGTTGGGACTGACGCAGCTTCGCCGTGGAAGGTGTAATATCGAAGATGATGACGTCTTTTAAACCGAGTAAGCCACCCATCCGAGAAAAGGGGAAGTGGAAGGTGTTGATATTCGGGTATCTTCTTCCAATACTCGATAGCTTTCATCCGAAGTAGAGGGCCTGTTATTGGAAAGCCAGCGTCCTGGTGTCGCTGCTGCCATTCAAACAGAGCTTGGTCTAATATAGGCCACTGCGACATCGATGGACGCGTACGGAAACTAGCAAGGCCAGTATCAAGATGATCGTATTTAGACGAAAGAATTTTCGAGACGGTAGCCCGGTCAATCAGACGATCGAATTGGGACTTAAACCATTCAACACAAGCTCTTTGAGATGGTCGAGGGTGCGTGTCGGATGCAAAGGCGCGTAGAGCTTTTTTCTGAGCGTCCGATATGCCCTTGTTGGAGCGTTTAGGAAGGGGTGGCATCTTCGCCGAAAGGGAGACAGAATTCTGCATTCTGATTGGTCTGTTTTGTATGACTAAGCAGATATAGAAGGGAAAAAGTCTGGCACATACTGAATGTGTCAAAAGTGGGAGGTTTATATGGGAAAAGCGGCCGTGCATGAAAATATCGTGCCGGAACCGGAAAATTGCTAGTTCCGGGCGTGCTGAAAGCGGGAGTTGACTGTATATCTTGCTCTTTCTTCCATATTCAGTCTATAACCACCAGTCTACCCAATCACTATAAGTCGTTTCGTTATAAAGAACAAATGCTTTTCTTCGGTTAAGGCCAAAGCGTGTAAGAGGAGATAGAACCACAACAGGGATGACTAGACGGAGGAATTCAGAGTCAAAGGCATTAAATGTTTACTGACTGCTAGGGCTAGAGTGACTAGTTGATTTGAATGCGTAAGATACGTGAGAGTATATATATCTCCGTCATAAAGAGACGATGCGAAGTTAGATTGCTAGATTCTGACATGATAGTGGGCATGGAATAGAGCGCTCGTAAGGGAAAGGGTAGGAAAGGAGAAATAGGATATATATTTTAGCTAGGAAACGTGTTGACTTAGTAGTAAACACCGAGTTCAGGAGACAAGTACTTCTGATATATCGAGATAGTCGCTAATTGGCTAGATGTCACGGGTTTTAGTGGGGCGAGCCCATCAATAGCCCACCAGAGCTAACTAAAGCCCATAAGAGTCCATAAATAGCCCTTCCCAGCCCATTCCGAGCTCAGTCATTTCACCTGAGAGTAAAAGCAGCTGATAATTTCTTACTCATCTTATTACCCACTTTCGATATTAAAATATAACCAAAGAGAATCATTGAATTTAAAATATAACAGTTTATGCAATAATTTCACAGATTGCATATCCACAGAATCTAGAATAAGAATAGTCGCTAGTGTAATCTGTTCATTATAGAAGTTACACTTACTTCGCCTCATGGAAAAATATATTTCTTGAAGTTCAGACCCCATAATTCTTCCGACTATCCAAAGACCATCATGATAAGTAATATTATTGAATTTTAGAAGTAATTAACTAATAGCGGCTTGCTTCGATTTGGATCATATAAATATTGCCCCGAATTACATTTTGTTTACACAAGGAAGTCTTGTTAATGAGAGCTGTAACCAGAACGGCGTAATATTGCGTACTGATTGTTGCTGAACAATTCATTGGCCTAGCAACCCTTTTTTTGGAATCCGTGAATCGTCGAAAGTTCAGGCAGAGCCAAGTTCAGAATCCCATCTTTTTCTTATTTTTCGGGGTGGGTATTTCATTCACACTAATTGGAGTTAGCCCTTCAGAATACATACTATTTACTCTCCTCTATGAGATTCTAAGAATCAACGATCCCCATATCTTTTAGCATCAGCTTGCTTCCATCGGCCATTTTCTTTCTTGCATATATGTACGGTGTCTCGAATAAGTCAAAATTTCGATGGCTGCAGAAAGGTTTGTCGAGTTGGATGAATTTCGAATAATTATCTCTTCCTGGCTGCCGGACTAAATTATAAATGCACATACGCGACGCCTAATGACTCTCGTAAGATACAGGGTGATGATGATGATGATGATTTCATTTACCCCGACCCCTCGCAAATTTTTAGAAGCGATATGCAGGTTACAACAACTATATATATCCCTGTCCGTACATGTAGAGTGTCCCACTTCCTGACAACGAACTTAGAGCCTCGTCAAGGCCTGTCATGGCCTAATTGCCGCTCCCACTGTTAGGCTGCCCTCGCGGCGCGCGACTGCGAAACCGTTGTGACGCTTCGGCGAAGTCCAACACGGCCTGAACCGTCTTCGCCCTCGAAACGGTGTCTGGTTTACCTTTCTCACCTTGTTTTGAGCCTCCCAGCAGACTCGACACGCTGCTGAACGCATCTCCGACCTCTAGTCTCAGCTTACTTCGCAAATGTTTTAATCTGGGGCAATCAACCAGCACGTGAGTCACTGTCTCTTGAGCACCGCACACGCACTGATCGTCGTCACAATAGCCGATGCCCTTGCGGTACGCAGATAGCAAATTGTGGCCCGTGCGTAGATGAGTCAACAAATATGCCCGGCCCCTGGCCAGGTTTCCGTATAACTTCCTGGTGTATGCCGACGGCAGAGAGTTATCGATCTTCCGGAGATGGCCGCCTTTACTGGCTGATCTCCATTCCTGTTCCCACTGAGTGATGATGTTACTGCGAATGAACGCCCTCTCCCTCGAGAGTAGCGGTCGGAACGGGTTGGATTTGCCCGGGCTGGCAGCTTCCTTCGCCATTCGGTCCGCGGCGTTATTTCCGGGGTTGTCATAGTGTCCGGGCACCCACTAAAGGCGCAACATGATCCCTGCGGCTCGGACCTCCGTAGCGGCTAGGTAGATTACGTGAATAATTCCTTGTCCCGACTTCTTCTTTACGCTCTGAATCGCTTATAGCGCCGACCTGCTATCGCAGAGGATTGTCGCGGTCGTCCCTGGGACTTCCACGCCTGTTCGCTGGTGCGCTACTTGAAAGACCATGCCGATCGCGTGGAAGATGCCGATAAGCTCGGCTACGTGGACCGACCAACGGTCCATCGGTCCCACCTGGACCTATTGGGATTCGACTACATCTATACTGTCGTTTAGTACCACAACGGCTGCCCCCAGGAGACCGTCGCGACCGGAGGCATCCGAGTAGACAACTATATCCGATGCTAAGCGGACGGCCTCGGCGTATTCCCTCGCGGCGTCTCGATCTAAGCCAATTTCAATCTCTGTGAAAGAATCTAGGCGCCACGGTGGTAGCGGTCGTGGGTCAATTGTTTCCAGTTCGCTAAGTCTCTCGACGTTCATGGTCTTCAACGCCTCCGCAAGTGGAAAGCGAGCGTACGATCCGATATTATTTCTACGTTTCTAGGCACGGGTAAGGGCGTGCCAGATCGGGTGTTCCCGAGGTAGCGTGTGAAGATTGGCGATAGTGCGCTAGGCTCGGTAGCGAAGACGAAGATAGGTGGGGAGGATATACGCCTCTACCTCCAGGGCCGTTGTGGCCACGGTTCGGAATGCCGATAGGATACGGATCAGTGAGGTTCTCTACACCGTGTTCAGGTGTCTCAGATGTGTCTTGTCTCTCAACGGGTCGAACCACACGGTCGACGCGTAGTCGACGACCGGCGTAACGCATACTTAGTAAAGCTGTCGCATTTGTTCTAGGCGCAGGTGTCGCAGTCCACACAGTGCGATAGTGGTTTTAGTTGCGCGTTTAATAGCCTACTACACATGTTCCTTCCACCGGAGCTCCTAGTCGAAGACCACGCCCAGGAGCTTAGCTGTGGGGGACGGCGAGACCACCGTCCCATTTACAACTATCTGGCCTTATAGATGATTACCTCGCTTCCTAGTAAGGTGGATAAGCTCGGTTTTCTCAGCGGCGAAGCAAGACCCAGTTCGTCGCGCCCAGGCTTCGATCCGGGGGATGTCCTCGGACTATAGTTTGGCCAAATTCTCTTCGGCCGATCGGCCTACTCGCCAGTGGAAATAGTCGTCGATGAATGCCGAAGCACCCCCGTGGAAAGTGACGGGTTGGTCAACCAGGTCGGCGTTGAAGAATGCGAATAGGATAGATAACAGCGGCGATCCCTGGGCGAGTCCCGCGTTGGCTAGAGGCGCCGTCTCGGTACGGAAGTCGTCGAATCCTATGTTCGCATAGCGGTCGCTCATGAAACTTGCAATCCACTTTCTTGCTACGGTGGGAATCCTTTTGGCTCGAAGGCAGGCGTCTAGGCTTGTTCTGTGGACTCCGTTGAAGGCTCCTTTCAGATCGAATGCTACAAGAGTGACCACTTTGTGCTTATACCATGCCCGGTCGATCGCATTCGAGAGTACCAGCAGCGCTTGTTCTGTGGTCCTTCCCGGGCGACCGCCGAACTGAGTGTCCGGTAGCAGCCCGTGCTTTTCAGCAAGGTGTGAGAGTCGTCTGGCGACGACTGCTTCTAGAAGCTTACCCAGTGTGTTGAGGAGGGAGATCGGGCGATAGGCACCAGGGATCGAGTAATCCGGTTTCCCGGGTTTCCTTAGCACCACAATCTTCGCGGTCCGCCATTGTCTCGGGTGGTACCCTAGATTCACTGAGGCATTGATCAACGTAAGATACAGGGCCGCTCGAAATCAGTTTCACCTTTGATTTCGTTTCTTTTATGCCCTGAAACGAGGAACGAGTGAAGGGGTTACTACCCTGCACGAGCTGCCCGCTGATTTTGGCTTGCGTTCGTACTGCAAGACCCTCGCCCGTTCTCGCCGCTGATTCGTCGCTTGCGCCGCCAAGACGTGTTCTGTTTCGCTCGAGTCTATCCTGGCTACGTTATCTGATTGCTCGTCGACATCTCAATTCATCTTAGCTCTTAGGGTTATAGGGCTTCGTTCCACGCTTGTCTACGTTTCCCTTCCATGACTGGCTCGTGCTGACTCGTCTTTGGTTGTATAACTCTGTCCTTGACTTAAGTTTTCTTACCATTAACTTCCATACTTAGCGTCGCTGATTGGCTAGCTTGTGTAATCCCTGACTTAGCCTTCGGTCGTCCACGGGGCTCTATAGTGCTGTCGGAACTTCGGTTGCTGTGTTCCGATTCCTGAACTCTCACATGATCTTCGCTGTGCTCCTTATTGGTTATCTGCTCAACTTCTTGGTCGTCCAATCATGATATCCTGCGCCGCTCTTTACTGCGCAACTTAACCTGCATATAATTGGCTAATTCTGGCGAATATTGTGTGTACCTACGTTAGACTTGTTATCGCTTAACTCCACTTCACTCTACACGTATTTTTATAATATTTTTCGATGTCTGTATAATTCTTCATGAAGGTCTACTTAGTACATACGACCATAGGGTGTGGGGAACAGGGCTTCCCGTCCGCTCAGCCGTACTTAACTAGCTAGGTCTCTAAACGCTTTTTGTACGCGCAGTATATATCTGTTCCAATAGGAGTTGGCAGCTTTTGCTTTACATTGATTTACTCCCTCTTGATGCTCCCATCTATGGTCTTCAGAGGAACAATTGCACTTGATATAAAGTTTGCAGACACGGCTCCATGTGTTTTCAGGAGCTCAACCCCCTTTACTGAGTATCATTGACATTAATTGTCATATCTCCTAGTCCGTGGCAAATATAATCTTAATCCCCACTTCCTAGAGACGGTAGCAAGACTTTTCCAAAGCTAACTCAAGATTTCTAAATTGTGTCGATTCATTAGCATGGGTAGGAATTGATTTATGAATTCATGGAAATTTGAACCACTTACACTTAGCCTTGGGCTTGAGGGTGAACAGCTGGCTATCTGTGATTTCGTCCGAAGAACGACGGGCCAGTTCGAGCTGCGAAGAGCTCGTTAGCTGCAAGATAGAGCTGAACCCGTCGACGGCAAAGTAGACGTCGGACCCTTATTCGTATTTCTCAAAGATCTGAGGCTCGTTGGAAGGCCGGCAGGTGCCATAATCAGTTTCGTAGTTGATATAGACACCGGTCTTGATATTTTTATAAGCGAAAAGTCGAGAGCTATGGTCAATTTGTTCCCACAGCTGGGTGTCGTTTCCAGTGCCCTAGCTAAAGGACAATGGCTTGCCGTGTGCCAGGGGCGCCGTCAGGAGGAGGTTATGACCCTTTGCTTGGAAGGTCACGACGTCCTGGCAGAAAGCCTGAGCGGCGAGAGTGGCTAGGAGGCTGAGGGTGGAGGAGAACTTCATTTTGAGGGTGCAATTGGAGAAAAGGATGTAATTTGTGGAAAAGATGGAAGTTGAGGACGATGGTTCGGAAGGAGACAGAAGAGGATTGGACTCGAGGGTTATTTATTCTAGTTATCACAAGTCGGCCGAGCGAGTCCGAGACAAAAACAAGAAAATGATTAACATATGGCTAGCTGGATCGTGACGGTGAAGATCGTGCATCGCACTATTGAATGCATTATTGGCGCCGATCGCCGCCGCCTCCACCTATTTGTAATTCAGTTCACCTCGGGCGCGAAATTCTGCAGAACTCTCTCTTCCACCTCGTTTAAGATGCAGAAATACTTCATGACCTCCAGGTTCTCGACCTCGCTCTGAAACAGCTTGTCGGGGTCCTGACCGGGTCCCATGGGGTTCATCATAGCGGCAGGGGGGTTTTTTTTTTTTTTTTCTGCCCCCTTCCCAGTCTGCTAGCCCACGACTCGGTAACTAGTGGGCGACGCGCAGGCCACCCTGTTCAGTCAGACTTCACGGGACGTTTTGATCGACTGAATATCGCTAGGACAAGGCAATAGAAGATAGATTAAAAGAGTTTGGGAGACACCCGTCGCGCCCGTGCCTCTACTTAACGGACAGGCTACGATACTAAACACCAATAGTCCTTATAGCGTGGTCTTTAACATCTTAAATGTGTACCGTTTAAGGATCCCTACATATGCTGAAACGGCACGATATTGTCTTCGCTACGGTTTCCTATTAAGGAAAGAAAATCATGGTCTTTTATGTGTTCGGAACTTATAAATTTCCTTCTATATATCTCTAGGACTTATCTATATTTAGCTCTTTTCTATTAACGGACCGCTATAATTACACTCATTCCCTACGCTTTCTGCCTCTTGGTGCGTTCTTTTGTGATACCTTCCTGGAGTAAAGTAACTGCTCGTAATGAGTGTGTTGAACTTAATGCGTGGATCTTCGAAGAGAAAAATGAAGCGCCAAAAATAGTATCGTCGCAGGACAAGCCTGATGAAAAAGGCGTACGAATATAGCAAAATGTGTGATGCAGATGTATGCGTGGGTATGCGCCTCCGGGAAACGGGCCAAATGTATATTCTGTCCTCTGATGCTACTGGATTCTGGGCATTTCTCAGTTCTCAATTGGTATGTTGTCTAATATCGGCCAATTGGAATACGACTGACTGTCTAGAGCTCTCATTACCTAACTCCGAAATTGATTACGGATCGGGACCTAGAGAAGGCTAGGGATGACGTAAATATTACTATTGGACAATGAGTGTTTCCTATGTTCTTTGATCCTTTAAGCCATCAAAGAAAACCTCTGTTCTATGTCTAGTTTGGCTTATTAGATCTACGACTGAGCCACTTTGTGCTTCACCGAAAGGCGCTTAAGTGATTTTGATGATGGCTTCTCCATGGGACCTTATAGACATTATCTTAATGATGCTTCTCCTCGGGCTGCGGTGGTACTTATATCTGGAACACCTCGCATCTCCTTGAGCTGCTGGTTTTGTAGGGAGAAACCATAAATATATGTCTCCTTATTTTTCGATTACGAACAGTCGCAAATAAATCGGGTTCACATCTAGGAAAAGATTCCTTGCTTTGTAGACAAGCGAAGCTTGTCTTTGTTGGATCTTTGCTCGAGTACTTTCTGACGGGCGTTTTTGGCGATAGTAATTTCTTCGAGATGGCCGGCGATAATATAGGACATATCTGGCTCGAACGAGCACAGCTTGCTATAAGAGCTTGTTGCTGGCGTATCTAAGGCTGTTGGAGCGGCGTCTGCTGATGAAATTTCATTTTGCTGCTATTATGCATAGGCCAGGAACCCTTTACCTAACTCTCATCCATGAGGAGATGGCAGGTTAAAATAACCCCGGGTTAACACTGGGGCGATCCATGATCCAGAATTGAACGCGAGGGAAGGCCATGACGAGTCGAGGGGGTCTTAATGGTGCGATGGGCGCTGCTAAGGGCCGATAATTTTCGTTGCGACTTAATGAGAAGGTTACCCTTTCCACTGAAGATGTAGATCAGACACTAAGTGCAGGTTGCCTGCGGACATCTTTCTCGTTGGCGGTGTATTTTCGAATTCGCTGACCAGGAACGATGGAGATTCGCTGCATGAGAGTTCGCTAGACAGAGAGGAGCCATGCTTCCTCGATAATTGGAAGGGTGACTGCGGGAGTCGAACCTCATAGTATCCCTCATGAAGGGGTTACTACCCTGCGCGAGCTGCCCGCATAGTTTTGGCTTGCGTTCGTACTGCAAGACCCTTGCCCGTTCTCGCCGCTGATTCGTCGCTTTCGCCGCCAAGACGTGTTCTGCTTCGCTCGAGTCTATCCTGGCTACGTTGTCTCATTGCTCGTCGACTTCTCCATCCATCTTAGCTCTTGGGGTTCTAGGGCTTCGTTCCGCACTTCTGTCTATGTTTCCCTTCTATGACTGGCTCGTGCTGGCTCGTCCTTGCTTGTAAAAGTCTCCTCTTGACTTAAGTTTGTGTGCGGCATTAATATTGACTTCCACAGTTGACGTTACTAATTCGCTGGCTTATATAGTCCCTGACTTTGCCTTTGCACGGCCACGAGTCTCTACAGCGTCACTGGCATGTAAGAGTACACTAAGTGCTGTCGGAAATTCGGTTGCAGTTACTTAGCTTTATATTATAGTTTGACTCGATTGTTCGGTCAATTCATGATTTAAAATGGATCCAATCGGCTTCGGCTGCTGTCTTCCGCAACTTTATGTACGCTATGACCGTGCAGTATAATTCCTAGCTTGGCGTTTTTGTGGGATTTCATTTCTATTTATCTTTCTGCTTAGTACCACTTTTGTTCTGTGCAGAGTAGTCCCTTAACGTAATATCTCATCTATTACCGATTCTCAGTCTGCTATTCACGCTCTACTTACACAGGGTTATATAACTTCCTATGTGTGTTGCGGCTTCAGTATGTTAGCTCTTCGATCTTGTCATGATTGTGGTCGCCGAGTTCGTCTATCTTTGACTATTGAACCGCCGCGATGTCCTACTTGCCGATTAGCCTCTTTGCCGCCTCTCATTGAAACGCGTCTCTGCTTAAGTTGCCAAGTTCCGATTCCTGCACTTTCACACGATCTTCGCTATGCGATTTGTCAAACTCGGCTATCTTTCCAGCCTCTTCTTATCGATACTCGTCCTTGTTATGACTGTGGAACTCCTTTTCCTGCTCGAACTGGGGTGATGCGTTGTTTCGATTGCCGGTCTAGAAGATCAATCGTTGTGTAAGCACCTGTTGATAATGGCCACCTACGTATAACTATGTTTGATCCATTTGTTAACTCGTTTCAACGCCCCGGCGAGACTAAAAAGTCCGTACTAGAAAGGGGATCGCTTTTTACGCCCCTAGCATTAGTTCCGCAGCCAATTTCGACTCCGCTACCGTCATTCGATCTCCTAAACACTAACCATCATTCAGCCGCTTCTATATTAGACGAGAGAACTGAGCCGAGACCGTAAATACTTGTACTTCCTAGTGATCCTCTGCTAGTACCTACCTTACCACAGCCGTTACTCTCGCAACCATCCCGACTTGCCGTACAGAAAAGACAGAATTTAACTGTATTACAGCCTGCAGTCAAAAAGCAAAGAACGCTAGACTCGCAGAGATTCCAGGACACTTTCCATCGAGCGTTCTGTTTCCTGCGCGACGAGCTAGAAGCTCGGGCTGTCGCTTCTGACGCTTTCCCCCCAGAGATATCCACTTCACATATTCGAGAGTCCGTAGCTAGATATGAGGATGTTATTTCTGAAGCTGCTAGGAGATGTGTCTGTTCCTCATGCGGGAAACTTGTGCCGAGCTCTAATGTCTACTGGGTAGATGATGAGGAACCTTTACTCCTGCTATTGAAGGGGGCTCTTGATGCCTGTGGCCGACATAATAACCTTTGGAATCTCTGTTCGTTATGCCATGGTTCACTCAATCGACAAATGATCCCGAAGTTCTCGGCCAAGAATATGGTGAATGTGACTCTATGCCAGGATTATCCATCCGCTCTAGAAGGTCTCACTCTGACGGAGGAATGCCTTATTGCAAAGTGCCATCCTCTTGGTGTTGTTCTGAAACTGCGACCAGGAGGCTGCCTGTCTTCCGTCAACTATCACGCTCTCCGGGGTCATTTCATTGTTATTCCACAAGACCCGGGGCCACTGCTGGATATCCTGCCGAGCCCGGAGTTGACACTACATAGCCTGATTAAGGTGTTCTGGTTAGGTGCCCGACCCCCGAAAGATTCGGAACTGAGTCCATTCCTTCTCGTTCGGAAGGCGAAAGTTCTGGCCGCGTTGCAGTACCTTGTTCGATACAACCCTCTCTACCATGACCTCATTATCAACCAGCCCATGATCGACGACTGGAGCGATGACTTCATCCCACTAGAGCTGAGAGATAGCATCATCTGTCTCGACGAGCCCGATCACCATGAGCGTGAAGGGTACACAGTAGGCCTGCAGACGGGAAACTACGAGAACAACCTTCAGGCTGCACAAGATAGCGCGTGTGATGTGGACGTCGGCCAGCCTTTTATCACTGGCTCTGTTTCCACAGATATTAATGGAGAACGTCAAGAACCTAACCTTCGTGTGCTGGACGCGTTGCTCAGAACTATTACGAACAGATCGCCAGAAATGCCTGTTATCTCTTATATAATCCACGGGCAAGCCATACTGGTGGATCACTGGTCAGATCCCCATTATTTTACCGCCGCTTTCCTAACCTTGTTCCCCACCGGGATTGGCGGCCATCTCGATGAGCGAGCTATCCCGGTATCCCTCGGAGCGTTTGCCGAGTGGGCTTTGAGCCACCATAGTAGAAGGTGCCTTCTCTCTTTGAATGATGGTACGTCTTTACTAATACCCGTAGATTCGCTCGCCATAAAACCTTTATGTACTTGTTATATGATGTGATTCAACTCCGGAAGTCGTCGATAGGTAACGCGTTCCTCATCAAACGCCAGAATTGGCACTCGGTAACTAAGGATATCACCTCTCTGATAGTGACCCAACTGCAAAATGCAGCAAAGACAGTCGCAATGGGCCAGAAAGTTGAAGATCCGATTATCCGACGTCTGCTACGAAGTATCATGACGATCGGTATGTAGGTCCCAGGATCCTTTGCTCAGAAACTCCGATTGCGCTCTGAAATTCGAGGGCTGATTACCCGGTATGGCATGCCCGCTTTTTGGATCACTATTAATCCCTCCGACCTACGGAACCCCCTCGTCCTGATCCTAGCCGGTATAGAGTACTCTGGGGACAACCTCGCCCCGGCTAATGCCGCTATACGTGAAGCTGCTGCTACTTCTAACCCTGTAGCCGTTGCAGAGTTTTTCCATAGCGTTTGCAAAGCCGTCCTAGAAGGTCTTTTTGCTACCAATACCGGCCAGATAGGCATTCTTGGTGAACTCTCGAATCATTTTGCAGTTGTCGAGACAAACGGCCGAGGTATGCTACATATCCACGGATTAGCGTGGGCGAGAGGTAACTTGGCTTTCACTACATTGCGTGATCGGCTCCTGCATGATACCAACTTTGCAACTCGTATGGTTTGCTACCTAGAGTCGATCATTATGCAAGGTATTGATGAGAGTATTCTACATGATCCTGAAGTGACCATTCCCAGCATGCCACCGTCAGCCAAAGATTTCGAATCCGATGATGACTTTCATCTTCGACTATCTTATGACAGCAATTGCGTCGCCCGTAAAACGTAGGTCCATTCAAAACACCATCTTGCTACATGCTTTAAATACCGTCAAGCGGGACCCGGAAAGAATATATGTCGATTTGGCATGCCTCGAGATCTAGTCCCTGTCTCTAAGATCGATGAGTGTGGACTAATTCACCTCGCTCGAAACCATGCCTGGATAAACCCATGGAATCCCGCTATTGCCAGTTGTGTCCGTTCTAATCACGATATCTCTTGGATTCTAACAGTCTTAAAGTCTTTGTCCCTGATCTATTACATCACCAACTACGCCACAAAAGATGACGTCTCTCCTTGGCAGATGGTGGCCAAGGCGGCCTTGTTGAAGTAGTCTATTGAGAAGGCAAATGTTGCCGAGCCACTAACAGCGACAGACCTCCGACTTCGAGAAAAGGGTGTTAATAATTCTGCACTCCGCTGCTTTAATGCGCTCTCTCATGATCGAGAAATCAGTGGCGTGTAGGTCGCTAGCGCCTTGCTCTAACTGCCAACCTATTACACGATCAACTACAACTTCATCCGTATTAACCTCTGGTGGCTAAGGCGCTATATCCGGGCTATCATTCAGCTAGATCGCCTTCAAAGTAGTCCATCTTCTGATCCCACGGCAGAAGAACCTTGCACCTACGAACCTGGCGACAATGGCCCCGTAAGCATCTTTGACAATTATAAATGGCGTGGGCCACACCTGGCTTCCCTTGCATTATTCGAATACTGTATGCTTATTAAGATAAAGCATGTACGCGCTGCTATTTCTGACGACGTGGACTTCGACCCAAAGCACCCAAGATATGCCACTCACGTACAGCGCCTAGCGCGCACTCCATCCTAACTGGCTACTGTGACTTTTAGTGGACAGTTAACCGAATTCCAGGCCGCAGAAGACGCGGTTCCAGGAGGTCATCCAGCAACAACCGCGATCATAAACGACGTGGTAGAGATATTATTGGGGCTTTTTGTTCCCTGGGATCAATTGATTAACCTCTTCCGGCGGTATGCGACAAGGACGGACGCTTATGCTCTAGTATGGGTGGCTGTTGAACCAACCCTCGCATTTCATAACAGAGCTTTTGCAACCAATATCGAATTACTGCGAAAGTCCAAGGAAGACTGCTAGGCTGATGCAAAAATGCGGAAGTCTGTAAACGGCGCGGCTGAATTATTTTATGATGCTGACGAGTATGAGCCTGTAAATCTTGGTTCTGATAGCGAAGAGGCCGAAGAATTCTTGCGCCTGTAGGATGAGAATTTCAATACGGAGACATTGATCGCTGCTTACCACTCCATCAGGAAAGCGTGGTATCGAGAGTCGTTAGTTACTAGCCGGCGGATCCCTCCCTTGCTCCGCGCAATAGACCGAACATAATGCTTATCACTACAGAACCTTCAGCCGTTGGATATTTTCAACATTCCTGCATACGAATCTTCTGGGCTGAGGTTCCTCCCAAAGTATACTTTACAAACATGGGAGTTTCAACTTAGATGTTGCGTCAATCCTAGTGCCGAAGACTGTACGGATGATAATGCTGGGACTTTTGGCTTTGCCGTTGATGATTTTGACGTCCACATTGAAGATGGCATCCTGTATCCTATGCTAGCTAACTTAGACCCTATCCCTGCTACGGATGATCTCTAATCCCGAGTAGGCCAGAATCCTACTGGCGCCTCTCTCGCGTCTCTGATCAACCAAGAGATTCCACTGAATCGGAAACAACGGATGGTAGTGGAGCGGGTGCTATGTGACGCTTTAGCCTGGGTGGATCACCCGTACGATTCGTCCCTACGCAAACAAACTCTCCTCTATATTGGAGGAGAAGGTGGCACTGGTAAGAGCCAGATCGTCAAGGCAATTGTTGCTGGCATGAGCCTTATCGGACGAAAAGACGAAGTGGTCCTTATGGCGCCGACAGGTGCAGCCGCCGATAACATCGGCGGTAATACATACCATACCTCTTTGGGGATATCCATCGACCGTTCGCGTGAAACCGGAATGAGATCCAGAGTGAGACAGCTTTGGTCTCGTAAGACTATCATGATCGTGGACGAAGTTAGCATGATGGATCTACGCATGATCAGCGTGATTGATAATCAATGCAAGATCGTGAAAGCCCTCGACAGATCCTCCCCTGATCTTTTTGGTGGCCTTCCTGTTGTTATCTTTATTGGCGATTTTTTCCAGTTTCCACCTGTTCTGGGACCGGCACTATGGAGGGAGCCAAGAAGAGGCATGAATGAGGATGAAAATGGTCGGCTACTCTGGCACCAATTCAAACAGGTGATCATTCTGGATGAGTAAATGAGGCACGCAGAAGAAGACACTGCATTCCGCGATTTGCTATCACGAGCTAGGACAGGGACTTTAACGGAAACCGATCGATTATTTCTTAACAGCAAAACCGTCACATCCCTAGTCAGCCCTCAACTAGAAGATGTCACTACCGTAGTTAAGTTGAACTCTCTACGACATTAGGTGAACCGCGTTCGATTAATAGAGTTTGCCCGGACCCGATGCCAGAACATCTATATCTTCCCCGCGCTTTATAAGCGTACCAAGTCCACTGGCTCGACAAACCTACGACTCTATGCAGACGACTTGCTCCAGCAGCCGGACTAAGGCACTAAGATCCCATTCCTAGGACTCTTCCTATACACCCCGAATATGCCAGTCGTTATACTAGCCAACATCTGTACTCCTCTGGGACTAGTTAATGGGGCATTAGGGGCTGCGATAGGCATCGTGGTCGATCCCATAGGTGCGTTCGTGTTTCCTCACAAACAATAAGAAACGTAACCACCTTATACCTTATTACTAGCCGAATTCTTTCAGATCGACAACCTCTACATCATTTGCACTAAACCACCGTCTTGCGTTATATTTAAACCGAACAGATCTAAAGCAGCCGTATTTGAAGGCCTTGGATCTTCAGCTATGCCAATCTTTCCATTAGAACGATCTATAACCATAAAAGGCCATTCGGTCCGAAGGAAATAAGTTCCTATGTGCCCAGCCTTCTGCCTCACCGACTACAAAGTATAGGGCTCGACACTTTCAGCTGCAATTCTCGATCTTAAAGATGATCCTACCATCCGGGGCTAAGATCATCACCGGAAGTATTGCTCGATGTATGTGCAGCTATCCCGCCTTCGATCCTCTAACGGACTTTATCTCCTGCAGAAACTCGATATGCATGACCTCCGATTCGGACCAGATCCTCGACTGCTAACTGAAATGAAAAGACTTCAAGAACACGAAAAAGAGACAATTACTGCTTAGCAGGAAACTTCTGACATATAACGACATATTCTATTATAATAGAATTTCATATACACTGTATCCATGCTTATCTAATTAAATCGTACACTACAAAATTATGACGAAACTTTAACTTCATTAGATTTTAGGTTTTTTGTATAAGTTCCGATCACTTGCATACTTTGGACTACTGCTTAGGCTAGGATATTTTTAGGTTTTTTAAGTAGAGTTTTAAATTTTATGACCTAAATCGCTCCTATCGGATTTGGGTTGTCATCTTCCGTAACCTTATCCACGCTACGATCTGTCTAGCCATAGCTGTCGATATCCACGATACACGACGTCGTTTATTATTTCCTATTGAAGGAAAGAAGCCAACCTCACTATCTAGGTCCCTAATATCATATCACCTATATTAAGTGTCCCGTATAATTTGTTGTAATAGTTCAATTTATTAACCTAATACCGTTGACATCATGACTCCCTTCTACTTACGTATATTAACCCTATTTCAGTCCGGTAAAGTTTTATAACCTGTTTATTTCTGCCTAATTGAGTATAACTTGGAACTTAGTCTGGTGCACCATAGTCACTAGATATCTCGGTACTACCTTTTTCGCGTTGTCTCTCGTATTATGATAATAGCCTTCGCGCTTCTTCTTTTACATGCTTTTCTTGCCTAGTATATACCTTGTGGCGAGGATATAGTACTAAGATACTATAGGTCTTTCTACTCGCCTAGAAGCTTATATTAAATCGTTACCCTATGCGCTAGTAATTCTCTCGACATATATTTCCTCCATCTAGGAACGTCTTGTTTTGAACCTCTATATTGCCCGTAAACTTTTAATTTTCGCTAACACCGTCCCTATGCCATCTCAGATTAACTCCCCAGCTATTCTCCACTTGAGAGACTTCATAAATAGCGTGGGACCTGACCTGTCTCGACTAGAGCAGGGACTTGCTCTATAAATCGAGGCGTCTTTGCATCTTCCCTTTCAAACGAATCTCTACTCGGACGATATTAAATTGAATGAGCTTCCGACTACTATACATTTCTTTGCCTTGCCGGGTAATCCTTAATCCTACGAACTCAACAAATTCATCTATGCTTGGGGCTTATTCTTGACTTCTGTCGACCCAGATGGGGCTCTACATCTAATTTTACACGCCCATGAAGTTGACTGGTAAGATACAAATAACAAAGCCTACCTTATTTCCTCGCCGCTGAGGGCTTCCTTAGTCACCCGGGCGATCATTCCGATTCTTATACGTACAATATGCACTGCCCAGAGGCCGCTCTCCCTATAGTTAGCCTACTAGGAATAGTCCGAACCGGAGGGGGACAGTTAAACAACGGACGTACACTGTTGCATTACGACCTTGAGACTAATGTCTACGACCCCTCGAATAAGGCGTCTGTGATATTTACAGTTTCCATTTACTTCAGGAACGGAAACCGTTGGACAAAATTCCCCGTTCTTTCTACGCAGTCCCGTATATTTATCACAGGGAGAATTTTCGGTATCACTGCCAATACGCCTCGACTGGCAATTGGCGTGGATGATGTTTATTTTATTCCAAATCTCGGCTCCATTACGACGGCTCTAGTGACTCCTACCTCATCAGCAGGAAAGCAGAAGCATGCAGATAGATGGAACAGTCGTGCCAACCCAATAACTCCAATAAAGAGACCACGAATGCTGACCATCAGCTCTGATTCCTAACCGCAAGACGATGGTCACTAGTCCTGTCCCTCTACTGAGACGCCCCTTCCAATAGAATCTGAACTCTGCGATAATGTCACCCTTAAGGATACAGCTGCCGACACACTGACTCACCTGGAAGACAGGTCGTCGGCTGACACAATCCTTCGGGGTCGTCCACCCAAAAGAAGCCGTAGATTTTCGAAGGTAGATTCACCCTTGTAACGCGTTTCTTCAAGCTTAGTTATGTAAAAATGCTTGTTTATCCCCTTTTTATACATGCTCCTCTCTTCTCAAATCAATTTGAGTTTATAAATAGACTTTATGAATATATTATGGCATTCCATGCTCGTCCAATTATCATACCCTACGCCACAATTTACTACGTCACCCGATATATATATATAATTGGCTGATCCTAGCGGACGTCTGTTGTACCTTTCCGGTGCGATATCAAACCTCATCGTTCGACTTCCATATTATCATTCAACTTACGGTTCACCTTTCGTACTTGTTTCGTTTCAGGGCCACAGCGTGCGACAGCGCGCGTCACCAGTTTTCTGAATTTCATTATGAAACACGCTAGGCCCCCTTTTATCTAGTCTGATTTTAGATCCTGAAATGTTTTGTCACCAAAAATTACGCGGATAGTGGGGTTGTAACTTTTCTGAAACATAGATACAATCGTTACGCTACGGTTAACTGTGAGTTTCACTTTAGTCAGTCAGAGCTTGAAGTATTCAGTTGCAGTTTTACATATGATAGCGCTTAAGTTCAACGTGTCTAACTCATGAGTAGGGTAAATGAAAACATACATCGTCTGTTAAGGCAAACACGGGGTGTAAGATCTAGATAGGTAATTTCTTCTCTTAAATCAAATCACCTGCCGCGTCTACTTCTTAGTCATGTGACTCATTGAGGCCTTACCGAATTAGGAAGTTTGGGCGCCCTTATGGGGAGCCTAGAGCTAATCGAAACGTGTCCCCCGTCGACTCATCAATTTGCGAATTCTACCTGTGACTACGCCTAGATGTCACGCCTTCTCAATTTGCCCAGCGAACTGCTCGCTTGCATAACTTCTTATGTGGATCATTCCTCATTAAAGTCGCTGCGCCAATCCTGCCGTTTTATATCACAGCTGGTCACCGGTCAGCTCTTCAGGACCGTGCTCCTACAGCCCGGCAAGACAAGCCAAAAGAGGTTACAAGAGATTTTGAACAACCCTAATCTACGTCGGATTCCGCGAAAGGTCTACATAGACACCGTGGACGAGAGTATTGTACGATTATCTCAATCCACCTCTAAGCAACAACTAACGTACACAGAATTACGATGGTGAAGAAGAGCAAAAATGGCCCTAAGGCTGGGATGATGTTATTCTGCAAGTGAAAGAATTACCTCAGCTGAACGCCGCCAGTCTCTGCTTCGATAAGGGGTTTACTTCAGATAGCAGGGATCGTTACCATTTTATGGACTTCCCCCAGTCGCCTCGATTTCGCTTCCACGCAATCCATAAGTTCTTCTCTCTTCTCGAATCCTTACGGTACCCAATCCAAGATCTTGGTATTCGCAACCTGCAAGCGGATAACCCTAAAGATCTAAAAACACTTGCAAAAATAGGGACGGTCCTGTCGGGCCTACTGTCCCTTCGCCTGAGCATTACTAGCGAGACAAATGACGCCGCTCCTGAGCATGATCTCGAGGTATAACCCACCTATCTTCTATTAAGATGCCTTTTCTAAACATATCAGTATCCGGAAATTCGCAAGTTTTTCAAGGAGTTGCCTAGCATATGGCTGAATCCCGCTACGCCCTCTCTCCAACATCTCTCGCTCTGCTCGCGTGAATACTCGGGCTTTTACCCTCACCTAGATCTCTCTAGTCTTTTCTTCCCACGCTTGAAGACGCTATCACTAGGAAACTTCTGTTTCTTCCATGATAGCCAAATTGACTGGATTATAAAGCATAGCGATACCCTCGAGGAAATCTATTTCGATGACTGCGCCGTTCTCTACGACTTTTGTATGAAAGCGTGGAATGTGGACGCATGTGCTCTACCTAGGGACACCTTGGTGCACCGCGAGGGCAGTAACTCTTTGTATGGTTCGTTCGAGAAGCGATGGCACCATATTTTCGATCTATTTGCAGAGAAGCTGCCAAAACTACGGCACTTTCGAGTCGGCCGTAGTAATTGGTACCCAGATATTCCATTTGAGCAGGAGAGGGATATCAAGGTCGGGCTGTATTACAATCGGTACATGTGCTGCTATGATGGATATGGCCCTTCGCCTTATATGGAAGGTGAGGATCCTCAAGAACTCGCAGGCCTTGAGAATGGGTGGAAACCGTCACCAGAATGTGACGATGAGGATCGCACCGCACTGCGGAAACTATTGGCAAAGCTTGGACAATCGGTCCAGGAAAGTTATTCGAATGAACACTTTGGCGATCGTATAGTGGATTTGGTTGAGAGGAGATAGGGATCCGCAAAGTGATACAGTATCCATGGATTGCAATCCCTTGGGTACAGTACTTATGCATGTTTTACAGTATCGCTCATTCAACAAGTTCTGTCAGGGGAATGAAAGAAGTTGACTGAAGTTGGAATGTGTGACATCGTGGCAGAGAACCCGCTGCCCCTTTTCCTTGGCATGTTTGGCTTGGTTGTTAACGGGATCTTCTAGAACGGACAACCCGTACAGGACAATACAAACGCTATTTTTATATAGTATTTTACAGTAGTATTAGAATACCGCCAAGCACGGCTCTAGGGGTAGCCTAACCATAATAGTATAGCTTGATGCAAGATAAAGTTCCAAAACGAATTGAATTGGAAAGAAATAGGTGAAACTGATTTCGAGCGGTCCTGTACAATCCGAAAAGGCCAACTGACCCAAGAGCCGGAAGGAGCTTTAGGAGGCGACCGGTTTGCACTTCTCTCGATTGATACTATTGCGATACAAAACGTCGTTGTGTGCCGAGCGGGAACTAACCCCGGACCGATGGCGGACCCACCCGCGGGAGAGCCCGAGCCCTCCCCCACAAACACCCAAAGAGGGGCACAGCTTTTCACCCGGGAAGACTTCGAACCGATCGTGCCTCGAAAGAGAAGAAGCCCTCGCAATAGAAATAAAGCCACCACCGTTACTTACTCAAACCCTGAGTTTGGAACCTTCGAAGACAATAACGGACGGGTAACGACCAAGGAGGTCCGGCAGCTCATCAACAGCCTAAAGGAAATCATCACCCACCAGACCACGGTTATCGAATCCACCAAAGCCGAGATCCTAGAGGTCAAGCACGACCAGAATATCCTCCGAGATCAGAATGAAAAGCTTCACGAAGAAATTAGAGCTCTGCGAGAACGAATTGAAGCCCTAACTCCAGCAGCCCTAACCAGGTCGTAGGCGGCTGTAGCGGCTGGCGGCAGCAATAGCTTCCCCTAACCGAGCCACCACCCGCCCGAGAAAGAACGGAACTGCATCCGAATCAGCACCTAGAGATCGTTCGTGGATCTAAGAGATAATAACACTACCGACGGGAACACCTTCGGCCGATACCTCCCTACCGACGCCGCTAATACCCATATCCGTACTGCCCTATTAAACGCCCCGTCCACGTAAGACGCCCACGTCGCCGGCATCGGGACTACTAAGACTAGTTACATAATCCGCTTTAAGGATCTAGAGTCGGCCGAGGTAGCCCGCAATAACACCGAATAGCTAAGCGAGCTAGGGAATGGCACGAAGCTAGTCAAGCTACGATTCGGTGTTATTGTGCACCGTACCCCGACAGAGGACTTCGACTTAGAAAACGCGAACACGTAGGCTATAGAGAAAATAATAGAAGAAAACGACTTAGTAGAAAGGGGTTTCCGAATCGAAGAGATTATATGGCTAAAGAGGAAGGACAAGGTATTAGGGAAGTTTGCATCACTCGGTATCTGGTTAGACTCCGCAGAAGGAGCTAAACACATACTCAACAACGGGCTAGTTATTGGCTAACGGTACATCGGCAGCGTGGAACGTCGCGAGATTAAGAAGAAGAGATACTTCCGGTGCCAACGTTTCGGACACCTAGCATAGTCGTACAAGGAAACACCACGGTGTGGACACTACGCGGGTCAACATAAGCGGCAACGATGCCCCCTAGGGGTGAGAGCCCGATACCTCGATTATAGCGGCGAACACCTAACTAGTGATCGAGAGTGTCCTACCCCCGCCACTTCGAACCCCCTTCAATGTTAGAGACAAACCTACGTATACTACAGTTAAACATTAGGAAATCGGGACCTAGGATAGAAGCACTTATTAACGACTATCAAAACCAAAACTTAGATGTATTTCTAATCTAAGAACCCTCAGTCACTACCTATCAAACACATATCAACCACAGCGCCTAGCGGCTATACAAACCGACTATTAAAACCGAGACATATCGGTTCCGGAGCCTAATCTACGTTAACAAAAGAGTATCAACATCATCTCACAGGCAGATTCCTTACGATCATCCAGACATTACTACCATTAAGATCTAGACAGCGGACTATCAGCTCCTATTATTTTCTGTGTATATCCCATCCGTTCCATTATACACCCCGAATGACACATCGGCGGAACCAGCATTCGCCGCCATCCAAAATACGATCTTAGCCGCTCTACGGGATGGTCGAAGGACCACAAGTGTCATCCTAGCGGGAGACTTTAATCGTCACCACCCGATATAGGGCGGCAACCACATCCAACCGCGGCTCATCGAAGAAGCAAGTGACCTAATCACCTTCTTCCAGACTCATAGTCTATATAGCTGCCTCCCCCGGGGAACGGCGACATACTAGGCCCTGAACGACCCAGGGAGGAACTCCACTATTAACCAGACGGTGACAAACCGACCCGACCTACTCATTAAGTACCACCTTTACCACGAGAATTACGGGTCAGACCACCGCGCGACGTACTCGGAATAGAACCTCCAAGCTTAGTGTAAGCCTACCACTAAACCAAAGAAGGCCTTTGACCGTGCGGAATAGAACAAAATTAGTAAGGAAGTAGTGCGCCAGACCGGTCCGTGGAAGGAGATTAAAACACGACCGGCACTAGACGAGACGGTGCAGAAACTCATTAAAATAACAACAGCAGCTATAGATCGGTACACACCTAATGCACGCCTAACGCCATACTCCAAACGGTGGTTCACCCCGAACCTTAAGGTTCAACAAACCAAGGTTAACCAGCTACGCCGAAAATAGTAAGCGTCCTACGCCGAGCTTAGACGAGAACACCCCTCCTCAATAGCCCTTTTCCGAGAGATATAAGAAAAACGACGGGCTTAGACTCGGGCAATTAAGATAGCGAAAGCATCACACTAGAGACAATTCCTAGACGAGGCAGGGGAAGGGAAACTATAGAAGGCGGCCACCTATATAAGACCCCGAGAAGACTAGGGGTGTATCCCACCGCTATAGGTCGGCACTCGCGAACTTGTTAGAAACGAAGAGAAGGCACAGGCCTTCCTAGATTCTTTCTTTCCTAAAATGAATACTCCTAACAACAGTCTACCAACTTCGGCGCCATTAGAACTACCGTAGGAGCCGATCACTAAGCTTAAGATCTAACGGTCTCTTAAGGCTGCTAAAGGAACCACCGCACCGGGAGATAACAACCTATTAATACTTATGTGGAAACGATTATAGAACCACCTAAAGGGCATCATCACTAAGATTTTCACCGCATCCATCAGGCTAGGCTACCACCCGAAACAATAGCGGAAAGCGAAGATCGTGGTGCTAAGGAAACCCGGAAAGCCGAGCTACTCGGCCCCCGAAGCCTACCGCCCGATCTCACTCCTTAATACATTAGGTAAGCTACTCGAAGCAGTAGTAGCCCGTCGACTCTCGTTCCTCGCGGAAAAGCACGGCCTACTCCCGGACACCTAGTTTGGCGGGCGACCGGGAAGAACCACAGAATAGGCTCTGCTGCTCCTATCCAATATAATTAACCGAGCATGGTATAAATATAAAGTGGTAACTCTTGTTTCATTCGACCTAAAGGGAGCCTTTAACGGAGTTAACAAGGCTAGCCTAGACACTTACCTACGGGCTAGGAGGGTTCCTACGGTCGTGAGAAAATGGATCGCGAGCTTTATAAGCGACCGCTATATAAGCATAGGATTCGACGATTTTCGTATAGAGGTTACACTCCTAGCGAACGTAGGGCTCGCACAAGGATCACCTCTCTCCCCGATTCTGTTTATATTCTTTAACGCTGACCTAGTCGACCAACCCATCACCTTCCACGGTAACGCGTCCGCCTTCATTGACGACTACTTCCGCTAGCGTATGGGTCGCTCGGCTAAGGAGAACTTAACCAAGATACAGTCCGAGGATATCCCGCGCATTAAAGCGTGGGCCCGGCGGACCGGGTCTAGCTTCATAGCCGAGAAAACCGAGCTTATCCACCTCACCAGGAGAAGAAGCGAACAACTCCAGGGCTAGGTAGTTATGGACGGGAAGACAATCGAACCATCACCCACAGCCAAGCTACTAGGAGTAATCTTCGACCAGGAACTACGATGGAAAGAACACGTCCAGTAAGCAATCAAGCGCGCAACTAAGGTCAGCATCGCTTTAGCCGGACTGCGGCATCTACGCCCGGAATAGATACGATAGCTTTACCGCGCATGCGTTACGCCAGTAGTGGACTATGCGTCGACGGTCTAGCACGACCCATTACGAGATAAGACTCACCTACGATACCTAAACATAGTCTAAAGGACGACGCTTATACGGATTCTGTCGGCGTTTAGGACGGTAGCTACCGCAACCCTTAAAGTGGAAGCACACATCCTCCCTACCCACCTTCGTCTCCGCCACCGAGCCCAAAACACGATCGCAAACCTCCACACCCTCCCTCGAGAACATCCCATTTAGAGTACACTATCACGAGCTTAGAAACGCAGGGACAATATCGGGTCGTACGCTCGCTTTCTACTAGCGGAATCGCTAAAGACCATAGACCTAGATAGATTAAACGGCCTAGAGACGATCGACCCACGGCCGCTACCACCGTGGCGAACCGAGCCCTTCATGGATATTAAGATCGGGGCCGACCGAGAAGCGGTAAGGGATCGGGCCGAGGCCATACGGTCCACTTCCGATATTATCGTCTACTCGGATGCCTCGGGACGCGATGGCCACCTAGGTACCGCCGTCGTGGCTCTCGACGACAACCTAGAGATGACCGAGTCGCAACAGGTCTAGGTGGGATCAATAGACCACTGGTCCGTCTATATAGCAGAGCTCATCGGCATCTTTTACGCGGTTAGCATAGTATTTAAGGTCGCCCACTAATAAGTACAATCAGTAGACAGATAGTAGACCGCGACGATCCTGTGTGACAGCCGGTCAGCCCTACAGGCGGTTCAGAGCGCGAGACACAAATCCGGCCAACGAATCGTCCACGCGATTCTGCAGGCGGCCGCGGAGGTTCTAGCAGCGGGAATCGCGCTACGCCTTCAGTGGATGCCAGGGCATTGCGATAACCAGGAAACGATGCCGCAGATCGTCTAGCTAAGAACGCCGCCAGTCCAGGCAAAACACATCCCTTCCGCCCGCTCCTCACCAGGGAGAGGGCATACATTCGTCGGAACATCTACGCTTAGTAGGATCAAGAGTGGAAATCATCCACTAAGGGTAGACATTTACGAAAGGTCGATAACACCCTACCAGCAAGATACACTAGGAGGCTATATAGGAACCTACCCAGGAACCGTGCGTACCTGTTGACGCAACTACGCACGGGCCACAACTAGTTATCCACCTACCGCAAGAACGTTAGATACAGTGACAACGACCAGTGCGTATACGGCGCACAAGAAACTGTCACCTATGTGTTGGTGGACTGCCCAAACTTAAGGGATCTCCGAAGAAAGTTAAGGAGAGAAGCTAGAGACGCGTTCAATAGCGTGTCGAGTCTACTAGGAGGCTCAAAACAAGGTGAGAAAGGTAAACCAGACACCGTCTCAAGGGCGAAGACGGTCCAGGCCGTGTTGGACTTCGCCGAGGCGTCACAACGGTTTTACAGTCGCGCGCCACGAGGGCAGCCTAACAATGGGAATGGCAATTAGGCCACGATAGGCCTTGACGAGGCTCTAAGTTCGTTTTCAGGAAGTGGAACACATCTATATATACAAACACAAAGATATATAGTGGTTGTATCCTGTATATCGTTTCGAGGGGTCAGGGTAAATGAATTCACACACACACACACACTCCTGTACAATCCAGTAGAGGCACACATCCTTCCTACCCATCTCCGTCTCCGCCACCGAGCCCAGAACACCATCGCACGTCTCCACACCCTACCTCGAGAACACCCTATTTAGGGTGCATTATCACGAGCTCAGAAACGTAGGAACAACATCGGGTCTTATGCTCGCTTCCCACTCGCGGAAGCGATGAAGACTATGAACGTAGACAGGTTAAACGACCTAGAGACGATCGACCCACGGCCGCTACCGCCGTGGCGAGCCGAGGCCTTCACGGAGATTGAGATCGGGACAGACCGAGAGACAGCAAGGGATCGGGCCGAGTCCGTACGGTCCACGTCTAACATCGTCGTCTACTCGGACGCCTCGGGACGTGAGGGCCACCTCGGTGCCGCCGTTGTGGCGCTCGACGACAACTTGGAGATCGCCGAATCCCAACAGGTCCAAGTTGGACCGATGGACCGCTGGTCTGTCCATGTGGCGGAGCTTATAGGCATCTTTTACGCAATCAGTATAGTGTTCAAGATAGCCCATCAACACTCAAGGACCGAAGACGGACAACAGACAGCATCAATCCTATGTGACAGCCGATCATCGCTGCAGGCAATCCAGAGCGCGCGAAACAAATCAGGACAACGGATCGTTCACGCAATCCTCCAAGCTGCCACCGAGGTTCTAACGGCTGGAATCTCCCTCCGCCTCCAATGGGTGCCAGGCCATTCTGACGACCCTGGAAACGACGCTACGGACCAGCTAGCCAAGAACGCCGCAAGCCCAGGCAAAACCCACCCTTTCCGCCCGCTTCTCACGAGAGAGAGAGCGCTCATTCGTCGAAACATCCACGCTCAGTGGGAACAAGAATGGAGATCGTCCACCAAGGGTGGTCCATTACGAAAGGTCGACAACACACTACCAGCTAGTTACACAAGGAGGTTATACGGGAACCTGCCGAGGAACCGCGCATACCTCCTGATGCAGCTGCGCACTGGCCACAACTGGCTATCCAGCTACCGCAAGAAGGTTGGCCACAGTGACGATGACCTATGCGTATGCGGCGCGCAAGAAACAGTCACCCACGTGTTGGTGGACTGCCCGAGGTTGAGGGAACCTCGACGGAAGTTACGGAGAGAAGTTGGAGATGCATTCAATAGCGTACAGAGTCTGCTGGGAGGCTCAAAACAAGGTGAGAGAGGTAAACCAGACACCGTCTCGCGAGCCAGGACGGTCAATGCCGTGCTGGACTTCGCCGAGGCGTCACAAAGGTTTTGCGGTCGCGCGCCACGAGGGCAGCCTAACAATGGGAACGGCAATTAGGCCACGGTAGGCCTTGACGAGGCTCTAAGTTCGTTTTCAGGAAGTGGAAGATTCAACATGTACGTACACGGAGATATATAGTTGTTGTATCCTGCATATCGTTCGCGAGGGGTCAGGGTAAATGATATCACACACACACACACTCTGTACATCGTGGGTGTGATCATTGAAGAACAAGCGACGATTTTGAACGCTGTTGATTAAGTATAATTGATCGCGTATGATGTTGTATGAAACAAGAATAAGTATGCCTTTTTCTTAACAACCTCAAGACTATAGCATGAGTACAGCTTAAGCTTTCAGAATCAACTTAGATAGCACACCCTCTATCTGTTAATAACAAGCGGAAAGTGAATATTTTCAGTTGAGCAAAAGTAGGTTGGGATAAAGTGGACGTTGATAAGGTGGGTATCAGAAGAGTTAATGTTTGAGCAAATTTAGGCGCATTCGTTCAGTGAGATTTCACCATTTTGCAGTTTTCACCAACGTTTGACGAGATGAGTTGAACAGTTGTTTTCGTGGATTTGGTTAAATCCCACATCCTGCTGGCTTGAGGCTTTCTGTATCATTTAGTGGTGATGGGGCCGCATCATAATGTTCAATTTGATGGTGTTTTATTCATAGATGCGAGATATTCTGATAAACCTAATAATAGCCCCAAACAGTCAAATTCATCGTAAAGCTCTGCAGTTGCATTACAGAAAGACAAGTGTTTCCAAAGATGATGAAAGATAAGTTTACTACCGGACGGTACAGAAAACCGAAACTTCTGAACCCAATGGAGGCGATTAATTCGTAGGCGATAAATTCGACTGTTCTCGTTTTCTTGAAGCCCATGCGTGATCCATTTTTTGAGTCTCAAAGAACAGATTTGGGATCGGCACTATACTGATATGGTGCGATAGGCACTCTCGACAAACGGAGCGCCACGCAGCGCGCTTCCGGTTTCCCAGACTTGAAAATTGCCTGCTCTCAAGTCTATCCGAGGGAGCGGCAGGAGGCAATTTTTGGCGTACCCTCAGTCCTTCACCCGCTTCACGTCCCTTCCTGCAATCCGTGACCGCCCTCCATTCTGGAGTTCCTTGCTGATATAGGTCAGGTATGTTTTCACTACTCGTGAGCCGAAATAACACAATTACCGGGTTGAAGCTGCCAACGCGAACGGCTCGGAAAGACTGCCCGACCTCTTGACACAGCTTCACGTATGCACCAACAGAGTGCTTACTCATGTTTTTCTGGAAAAGATGCTGTATCGACACATCATCAACCTTCCACGCATATTGCACATCCTCTTGGGTGCCCATCAGCCGGACATCAGACGGCTTGACTTTGACTCCTAATGTCTCCCCTAATCAGCTCCTTTGTTAGTCATGCTCATAATCATCTAGTTGCTGTAGCGACATACAGATGTGCTGCGATAAGCGCTCGCGACAACTGGAGCGCCATTCAGTGCGTTTTCGATTTCTGAACTTCGAACATCCCCTGCTTTGAAGACCAGGTGTCAGTGGTGCAAGCAGCGAATCTGTGAGTGAATGGTGGCCTATATCCATATTATCACCACCGCGACTAGTTTGCGAAAGCTGTGTCCTGCAGTTTGAGGAAAATGAGGAGTCGCAGGCAGAAGAGCACTCGCATCCTTTCGGACGAGTTATCTTCGAGTTCTTTGCTGCAGTATGATCGGTAGTGGCATGTAAACAAGCGCGCTTCTTGTCCCCGACTAGTTCGATGCCACAGTCTGCGCCTGGCAGTTGGCCACGTCGTTCGGTATTGTCCAAGACGTAGGCAAGTTTCATGATTGACGGTTGATGCCTTTATGACCATCAATATGACCGGTGGAATAGGGTGAGCGCGAACCGGGGTACAGTAACTTGCGCCAGAGGACGAAATTTCGGACAGAATCGTACAGAAGAAGGGATTTGAACAAGTCACGTATAACCGTGTTTGACTTTATCAAAGGTAAAGAAATGACCCACAGGCACTCAATTATTCATTCTACTGTGCTTGAAATTGGCAAAATAGATGTGTATAACGTATATCTATCAAACAGGGTTGGCCACCCAAAGGGATGGAGATAGCTAGTCGGTCATCGGGACTTCGTGGAACTTGGAAGTAGATATTGAACATGCTGCCCGGTTTTGTGAAAAACAGATCCTAAACAAATCAAAATTCGTTTCTCCTCGAACAAACCCACATTTGTAGCTACGTGGCACTTGTAATTACTAAATACCGAAAATCGGCTATTGGCGTGAAGTTCGTGAATCAGCATTCTTTTCATTATAACTGACAGTCAACGCCTGTTACAGTACACGTGCTTGTTAATTCAGAAATACTTTGGTGGAATCACGCACCTTCCCCCGAATTGAGCATTCTCAATCTGCTGTACCCACTTCTCTTCCCTCCACCAAGATGCACTGCTTTTACTTTCCCTCTTCTTCAGGCGTTCACTGTTGTAATATTCATCACACCTTTCTTCAGGCTATCGCAATGGAGCCGATCGCGGAGTTGTTCGGTTAGAACAATCGAGATTTTGAGTAGCTGCGTTCGTAAGAAATCTAAAGGGAGGTAATTTAAGGATGATTGATGGCGTTCGGGGGCTGGTGTCGTATTGGTATTTTAAGCGTGTAAATATGCATGTAACAACAGTTCGCGTTACATAAAATTGCCTGCGTCCGCATCTTGAGCACGTTTTAAGCCTCCCTCGCATCTTGATAGTAGCTCATCCAGTACCTTTTCCATGCAGCTAAGGTCTTCCGGTTCCATAAAAACCGTCTAACCAGGTCTTCGATATTACCCCAATCATTGTCAATCGAAGGCTCCCTGAACACAAACTCCCTCATCAAGTCATTAGCATGCTTCTTCAATGTCGCACCGCCCGTAATCGCATTCTCAGCCGTTGCAAGAACAACCCAAGCCCGTAGTTTGTGGCAACAAATAAACAACCCGGCATTATCGAACAACTGTGTTTGCCTGCCCAGACTCTTCACCCTATTTAAAAGCGATGCTTCGGGGAAAAATTTCAGTTGGGCCGTGCCCCACGATAAAAATGCGACAATGCCTAGGCAAGCTAGCTCCTCCACAGGGTTATTGGACTGATTTGCTAAAGCGCGAGCGTGTTTTATCCACTCAATCTGTCGTTCCGCAACTTCTGCCATGTCATGGTAGTGTTGGAGGCGGAGCTGTTCTTTTAGAAGGAGGAGAACTTCGACGCTCATGTTTCCTGTTTCTGCTAGGTCGCGGAAGCCGAGAGGCAAGTTGTCTATTAAGGTTTCGATGTCTGTATTGGTCTGTTTGCCGGGTAGGAGGTATCGCATCTCCAATGCCCACTTGCCGACGCTTGGGGAGATAATGGTTTGTGAGTGGACGGAGAACTGGTTCCCGTATAAAACACTTTCATGTCTAAGCTTTGATGCCATTTCGGTCCCTTCTACCAATCCGACCGCTTGCATGACATGTAGGTCTTCCAAGGATGCAGTAGTTGGATCCGCATCCAGACTAGTACTTGCACATTGAGCCTGAGTTTGCGCTTTGGCTCTCAAATGCACCATCTGCAAAAGACCCAGACAATGAGCCCTGAACTCCGGCTCATACCCAAACCTCGCCGCCCCCTCCATAAGATAAAATGTCGTCAAGATGGTTTCATTCGAGGTCCATATAGCTAATTTGTCCGGCGCCTCTGTGGATATCTTGGCTTGCAACCCCTTTAGTGCTCTGGCTTTGTGCCATAATATAGCAGGGGTAGGCGTTTCTTTATTTTCGAGCGTTGTGGCCCTTATACCGTGTGAAAAGGCGGCCACCGCGTCGAAGAGGGTTGTTTCGCTGCAGATGACCTGCACCCAGGAGCGCATGGAGGGGGTTGGACCCTGTCCCCAATTTGTTACGCGCTCGATGAGCCAGTGGATAACTGTCTATTTTTAGCTTTGGACGATCCAACTGACCAAAGCATGGAGCATGAGGAATCATGCTGCTGGGGATATAGTATGCAAATTCATTATGCTTGGGAACGGGGCCACGTGCGCAAGTGCATGTGAGGGGCAGAACTCACCGAAATCAAGGATTTTAACAACTTTCTGCCGGTGTTCAGGTGGGTAGGCTGGGACGTAGCATTCTACTACTGGCCGGACTAACTGAGTACCATCATCATTATCGACACATGACTCTGAAGTGCCGTAGACTTGCGATACCGGGTCTGTCTCTCCTTCAAGGCGAGGTAGTCTGTTGCCACCTTCTCTCCGTGATTCCCATTTGGATCGCCCTTTGATGGCTATGACCACCCGTTGAGTACTTTGCCCTGAGGAAGGCTTTGCTAAAATCGGCGATGACGTCTCATCGTATTGGACAGACAGTTGTGTTCGCCGTGCAGGCGCAGAACGATTCCGAAAATGCCTGCCAATAAACGCCGAGACTATGCGGCGCTGTGTTTGCGTTGGTCGGGGATTAGGCTGGTTATAGTTCACGAATATAACATTTTGACTTTCCGCCATGTTGCCAGCAAAGCTTGACCAGAATAAGGACTAGGTGGCAGGATCGCATACTCATGACATGTGGGGGACGCTTCGAGTCAGGGTCCATCCAGGCTGCGCTCGGCAGAGAGGTCGCAGGGTTTGGCTGGTTTGCATCCTGATGGAAGATTAGGGATGTCAAAATCAAATTTCAAAATTTCGAAATTGCTGAAATTTGGCCGCTTGAAATGTAATTTGAAATGGGCCTTGAAATCTTGAAATGACGCTAATCCTAAATAGGTAAAAGAATGATCAGCTGACCAATCAAAGATAAACTGGCGAGTTTGAGTCGAGCGGTGGAAAATCAGACGCTGATCTTGGTCGCGGGCAAGTGAATGATGACTCATCAATGCCAAGAAATTTTGAAATGTAATTTATTTAGAAATTTTGAAATGTAATTGAAACGAGAAAAAAAAGGGAAATTTCAATATTTCGTAATGACCTTGCCAATTTTGTAATTACAACATCACTATGGAAGATTCCAGGTCTAGGCCAGCAGGCTTGTCCTATTCCGGCAAAACCAAAGAGGAATCGCTATCCGTCCTTTTTCCCGATACAACTTAGTGTCATTATTTCACCATCGAGGGGTATTACGGCCCCCGTAGTGTGGGCTCTAGAAACACCCCCCCGGGGGGCCCCAGCACACAAAAGTCATTCACGCCCAGCGGCTGAGCTGATAGAGTGACCATCACATCACTGATCTATCAATCCAGGTCCTGATGTACATATGCCATATCTCCTTCGAGCCTATACAATGGTAGGCGGTAGTACCTCTTGAATTTTTTTAATCCATGCTGTACGTACTCCAGCGAAGCGGATGGGTTTCTGGCAGGGTATGAATGTCTGTCTACATCTTCATGGCCTGTCTCCAAAGATGGTTTTGTGTAGCGACAATGTGAGCGAGCCCCTGGGCTGGTGACGGTCTAGCCTCTAAAAAGGATCGATCTGTCATGGTTGCTGTGGCGGTGGCCTTCTGTGGCACATTTTGCACAATTATGGGCATTCTGGCACTGGGTTGATTGGGCTGGATGTATGTAATGTGCTTGCGCGTGAACTAGCAGAAGATTGAGTAGTTTCTTTTCTCATCTACCTAGATCGATGTTGGCGAGGCGGAAGAGACTACGCTCTATGCAGCCGGAACCACGGTTGAATTGTATGTGTTACCTGGAGCGTGGCATGGCTTTGAGGGGGTTGTCCCAAGGAATGAGGTTAGACAGGGAGATGAAAAGGCAAGTACAGACTTTAGTGAGGTGAACTGGGTGCTCATCCTTAGAAATAATGGGTGTTGTCATGTCACTACGCAGGTCGACCTCAATGATAATGTTAGCGTGGTACTTCTATCCCTACTTTATGACTAATATTCTGCCATTCTTTTATTACGAGTCTGTGTAATTTAACCACTAGAATACATATTATTACCCCTTAGTAAGGCGTGTGTCCTCCCTGCGCATCGATAACAGCCTGGCAGCGCTTCTGCATAAGATCAATCTGTTGGTCTAAAAGTTTATAGGTATCGCATCCTAAGCAGCTCGTACAGCCTCGCGTAAACGATCATAAGATAGCTTCCGATCGTAGTCTTTTAAGTATCGATCGCCAATCCAATCTTTAATCCAATCCCAAAGCTGCTCAATAGGATTAAGATCTGGCGAATACGGTGGCCAATCGATAGGGTATATCCTACGTTCGTGTAGTTCCTCAATCGTTAAGAGGTTCCGATGAGAAGGTGCGCCGTCTTACATCACGATTAGATGCTTATTTAGATGGTTACGAGCTATCGTAACTATACCATTAATTAAGGGCACTATTCGCTCTGTATATTGAGCGCTAGTAATACTACCCTATTCTTTCTCCTAGAATAGACAAGGGCCTTTCTCATTACCATAGAATGAGCCCCAAAACATCCAGCTAGGTGCATGAGAGATACGCTCTCGTATATAAGTATCATTAAACTCCTCACCAGACCTACGCGTTATATAGATCCGTCGATGATAGATCGATGTAACCTAGGTCTCATCGGTCTATAATACCTTTTCCCACTGCTCACGCGTCTAATTAATATGCTCTAATGCCCAGATTAGACGTAGTGCTCGTGTTCGATCGGATAAAGGAGGCTTTCGAAGGGCCTTACATCGGTGATATCCTCGTCTAGCTAAGGCCCTTCGTAATGTCTTAGGGCTAATAGGAAGTTATAGTTCTTGAATCACCCTCGAGTAAGGCATTCGTCGTGTTTCTTTCGAAGATGAGATAAACTCAATTATCTTATTAAGTTGTTCTTCCGATAGCTTTCGACTTCGGCCACAGGCCTTACGTGGTGTAGGCCTCTTATCACTATAGGCCTTTTGGACTTAGCGCTGGGTGATACCTAATTTGGATGTAGACTGCGGCATATCCTCTCCATTGGATATTGGGTCACATACCATATCCGCACATTGAGGATAACGGACATTACTTTAATACCATATCCTTAATGAGGATATCCATGGATATCCGCGAGGATATGAGGATATCTTGCGGATATCCGCACTAGCATAATTCTCGCTTAATTATCTACTTATAGGTAGTCATATGCCCCTTATGCAGCTTATCAATCCAATTTTCAGATCAAAAAATACACATGTTCGGTCCTGACCATACTAACGATATCATTTATTCTGTTCCTTAATAGAATATTAAGAAATCGTCTTAGATTAAGTAACATTTCCCGCCTTACTATTACTCGTAGTATCAATTTTTTTTTCAAGATATACTGAACGACATAGCCGAGATTTTGTTGTTCATGGCACTTTACCACGGAAATATATATTTGCTTCAGCCATCAATGTCGGGTATCTAAACTATTCAAGCATATAAGATAAAAATCCCTATTTCTCGGTCGAATCTATTAAATCCGACATAAAATAACCGGCCTTAGCATACTTTGAAGTTGANCATTTATTCTGTTCCTTAATAGAATATTAAGAAATCGTCTTAGATTAAGTAACATTTCCCGCCTTACTATTACTCGTAGTATCAATTTTTTTTTCAAGATATACTGAACGAAATAGCCGAGATTTTGTTGTTAATGGCACTTTACCACGGAAATATATATTTACTTCAGCCAACAATGTCGGGTATCTAAACTATTAAAGCATATAAGATAAAAATCCCTATTTCTCGGTCGAATCTATTAAATCCGACATAAAATAACCGGCCTTAGCATACTTTGAAGTTGACAGATCCTAGTGTATCGGGGCTGATCCACATAGGACGAAAAGGGACTAGGCAGTAGCTTCCTCTTGGTCATAGGATCCTACTGTCTAGGAAGGGAAAGAAGGTCTTAAGAACAATAAAGTCGATTGAACTGCTAGCTAAATAGTGGTGTAAACGAGCGTTTAAATACACGATTTGCAGTGGTTTAGGCAGTAGGGAAATAGGGCAGAGATCTAATAATCTGATAGATCTTAATGCAGGATAGAAATGTGCAGAAAGGACGTCGGGATCCTTAGTCAAATAGCTAATTAGGCTATGGTCGATATCTCTGTTGAAGAGATGCATATAGAGGGGCTTTCTGTAGGGGAAAAACAATGGTCCGGCCCGGTAGGCTGCCGGGTCCTTAGGTAACACATAAGCACACACACATAAGCATATACCCCCACACACCTATATAGGCTGACAGAAGTATATCAATTTCTTAAACTAGCTTATCTCGTAAAAGTATAGCGAAATCCCGGTCGGAAATTGTCATTCTATGGACAGTGATTCCATTTTCTCTCTGAAAATTAGTATCCGAGGACAATTAAGGATATCCGCGGATATCTTATGGATATCCACACAGATATCCTTAATTATCCTCAGATATCCACACTAGTGATTAGTAATAGCTAATCATCGCTATTAAAAGCTAGAGATATATCGAAAACGCGCCCGCGACTCGCGACTTGGTAGGCATACCCCTGATATTTTCAGCTGGTTATATATGTATGTGTTTCTCTCTCTCTTCATCTATCAGCCTATCTCTGGGTAATTTGTATTAAGTATAATATGTCTTACTCATAGGTATCTCAGTCCTACTACTCCTTCTATGCTGATTCAGATCTAGGTCTGAATCCTGATCTACTTCATTCAGATAATATCTCCGATCTTTTTAGTAGCCAAACTCCATTAACACCTATTTTAAAGGACTCATCTCCGACTACACCTCTCTCGCTTCCTCGTGTTGGTCCCCCTCTTTAGTAATACTGGGTCCTCTACTCCCCCGAGCTAAGTAGCGATATGGATGAATCCCGGAAGAGCTTTGTAAGGTGGTGGTTAACTATAGAGTTTGGATCGAAGCCTAATATATAAGACTCTATCCGTTGGGATGGGAAAAAGACGTCTAATATCTAGGATAACTTCAATCAGGTTGCATATGAGAAGACCGGCAAGCTAAAGGTTATATATATAATATGTCTCTGTACCCTTGTTCATCTAAGATATCGCCGTGCTGGGTCATCGCTAATGAATACATATATTAAGGTAGGCTTATGTGCTCGGAAGCCTACCTAGAGGATTAATTAGCTTCTTAAATAGATGGTATGTTATTTATCTATAATCCAGATTCTTAATATTTCTCTTACTAATATTTATCTACTATCTAAAAGCTAAGTCTCCCACAAAGTCTACCCTTCTCCTAGGAGCGTTTAGCAAAAGCGATATTAGACTTTATCTCTGCCGCTTACCTACCTTTCCGCATTATTAAGCATACCTAATTCAAGAGCCTAGTGGAGGTTATTTAGTAAGCCCTAAGTAAGGTTAATATCCCCTCTGCGCGAAGTATACGGCGTTATCTTGACTCTGTAGTTAAGAGTAACTAGAAGGAGGTTCTTGGAAGGCTTCTAGATAGGAGTCGCCTTTTAATAGCGCTCGATTGCTAGACATCACTATTCTAGTAAGTATTTATGGCTGTTATAGGTTACTTCCTCGACTAGGATTAGAATTACTATGAAGTTCTTCTTGGATTTGAGTATCTTTACGGATTATATACTAGTGAGAATCTAAGTAAAACTGTGATTCAGCTTCTGGCTAATTATGGGATCACCGACCGCGTATTATCTGTAACTATAGATAATGTAACTAATAATAACTCCTTGATACTGAATGTCTAAGAGACTATCTAGTCATAAAGTCGATCGGATACCTTAATCTTCTAAGTCCTATGTATTACGTATATAATCTAATTAAGCTTAAATAAGCTTCTTAGGAAGCTGAAAGTGACACTATATAATAAAGAGATTAAGCTAGAGTGGTCTAATAAACGAACCCACTCGTTTTAGACTAAACGATCTAGCTTATCTAAACAAATTACGGATATATTAAAGAAGGTAAGTTCCTATTATTCTAGATACTTTTAAGTTAATTCTAATTAGAAAGTTTAAGATCCGAGGTCTAGCAGTCTTTATTAATGTAAGCCTATAACGCCGGGAGGTATTTATAGCTCTGCAAACCAAGGAGTCTCCTTTAATCCCTATTCAGGATGTCTAAACGCGATGGAACTCAAGCTTTATGATACTTAATCGGGCTAAAAGGCTACAGCTATTCTACGATCAGTATTATATAGATCATTAATATCTCCACTTTAAACTTGATCACGAAGAGTGGCGGCAGATTGAATATCTTCTTCTTCTTACAAAGCCTTTCTTTGACTTCACTAATATATTATTAAAGACTAGAGATATTACTACACATAATATCTATAGTATTTATAATAAGCTTTTCTCTTATCTTAATAAAGCTAAGAGTAAGTTGAAGAATAAAGGAGTTATCTAGAAGAAGCGTATGCTCTAGGCTCTTCAGACTGCAAAAAGGAAGCTCTCAAAGTATTATACTGCTACTGATTATAAATCATACGGCGATATTTATGCACTAGCAACGATTCTTTGCCTATTAAAGAAACTTCGATATTTTGTATCAACAGACTGGTAAGGTGAAATTAACTACGTGAAACACTATCATGGAGTCCTTAAGCGAGAGTTTTATTAATACAAAGAGATACTTCGCCGTGATTCAGATACTATGGTCTTATAAGATGCCACTAGAGAGGCCCTAGATGACGATGATTATGATCTCGATGCTGCTTGTGCTTCTCAAAATCAGCTATAGGAAGAGCTCTCAAAGTCTGAAGACGACGAGATTGCGAGGTATCTTGCCCGGGGAATTGAGAGACAGAAGCCCCGAGCATTCTGGAAAGAGTATGAGCATGAGTTCCCTATTCTTGCAAGGATGGCACGGGATATTCTCTCGATCCTAGCTAGTGGCGTAGGCGTTGAGCGATTATTCAATTGCGCTCGTGATATCTGCCACTATCGTCGTGGTTAATTAAAACCAAGTACGATCCGAGAACTGATGCTTTATTAGTTCGCCACTAACTTTGAGGTTAAGCAGAAGGAGATGGAGGTTATCAAGGAGCATCTTTCTGCCGGGGAAGCCGCATTGTTAGATTAAGCTCGGAAACCAATGCCCCAGCTTGAAACTCTTGAGCTAATTAGTGACAACGAAGAGGAAGATCAAGAGCTTAGCATTGAGGATACACAACTGATAGAAAGCTACGATGAGAATTTAGATGGTGGGAGGGCTGATGGAAGTAAGCAACTATAGTGTAAACGATCAAAGAGACGATTGTCTAAGGCATTTGATGGCGATGATGATGGCCTTCCAGAAATGCCAATACATGAGGGCATACAAGGACGGTCGGGGCGGATTCGGAAGCAACCAAGGTTACCTAACGGATTTCAGATTGATTTAAGATAGACTATGTAGTGTGAAGATAATAACATCATGTCTACGAAATTAAAACCTTCGATAATTAATTATTACACTGTGATTACTTGAAAAATACAAAGGAGTCCGCATAAGTAATGCATACTCAAAAAGGTCACGAGGCTGGGCATGTTTGGCATCTTTGATATCCACTGGATATCCTTAAATATCCAGAGGATATCGGGTGCTATACCATATCCATAAATTTGAGGATTGAGGATGTTCGGTGACATACCATATCCACAGTTTGCGGAGAGGATATGCGGATATCCATGGATATTGAGGATGTTGCCGCAGTCTATTTGGATGCAATTTGTGCATAGGTATACCTCTGAGCACGTAGTGTACGCGCTGCGATACGCTGATCGCGGGTGGCCTTCTGACTAGGGGTCCGAGGAGCCTGGTCGGAGGACTGGTAAGAGATCTCGTTGCACGCTTGGTCATTAATCTCCATGGTAGGTAGGTAGGTAGGTAGGTAGATGGGTAGGTAGATAGGAGATATTTCTAGAAGAGAGGAAAGGGGTTGAAATGTGCGGTATTAGTCTAGTACTAATATAGAAGGCGGTTAGGGATGGTATTAGTCATGAAATGGGGATGGAAGTACCGCGCTAACATTATCATTGAGGTCGACCTGCGTATGAAAGTCAAATGAAGTCATGAGGATCACGTGCCGACTTTCTATTCGCCCCCTGTAGAGTTTCTACAAGCTGAAATTTGTGTGAAGAGACGTTAGAAGCTCAAAGTTCGACAATAGGATTTCGGCTGCTTGTTTGGACATCTATACCAGAGTAAATGATGGGCCTAGGGACTCCTTCCGCCGTAAAGTTTCCTGGCCCCTAGCCATCTGCGATGTCGCCCGTCGTAATTCGCCGACCAGCGCTTCGCGGCCAGCTAAAGCCTCACGATTGAGTTCCTCGTTGACCACGCCATTGGGCTGAACTACATCGATGTCCATTCCTTGTGACAATTTTCCTTCCATTGGCGGGGCTGGCATTCTGGTAAACTCTTCAATTGCCTTATCTGTTCTCTCCTGCCAGGTGCTTTCTTCTCGTTCGATTGTCACAACCGCATAGTGTGCTCGTCTATAAACACCAAGCCCGCTCAAAATCCCACTGCAAAGCTCGTAGGCGAACAGGACTGGGAAAGCATAACCGAGATGGGGATTACAGCCACCAGACCAGATATCAACAAGAATATTGTAGCATGCGTGAGCTGGTAAGGCATTTCCCCACCTATAGAATGCCGGTGATAGCTCGAATGGTAGGAGGATCGAGGTCACATTTAGCACCAGGTAAGTGGTAAGACCCATCGGCAGAAAAGCCGGTGGTAGCCAAACCGCAAAGACATCAAGGGTGAGGAAATTCAGATGTCCAAAGAGCCAGAGTGTTAGCGAGGTTAGGACCCATTGATTTCCGTTGACTTTCCATCCAGCACGGAAAGCCCAGATGGCCCCAGATGTACAGATAGCACCTGCCATAGCGTAGACTGCGGAAATCAAGAAACGGAAAATCACGATCCGTCTTGCTTTAATAGTACCGAAAAGCCCAAATTGGACGTATAGGCCATTAATGGTAGCCAGGAAGAAGAACTGTTGTATCAGGATCAAGATAACGACCAGGGTGTTGTAGATGAGGCGCGATCCTTGGGTGGTTGGCTGAATGTTGATTGAAGCAAGGTGCCAGGGATCAACATAGACCGCGACAGAGTCAAAACTGCTTCTGTTTACAGTTTGGAATTGGTGAGAGCCGGCACTACCAGGCTCCGTATATGCAATACGAGCAGTCTCCGACAAGATTTCCATTCCCTGAGCCAGTGAGTCGGCAATCGAGGGATACCTGGCCTCGTTCCATATGAAAATAAGCACATCGCTTCGATTATATGATGACGCAAACTCGCTATTGCTTAGGGCGGATGCTAAGCGGTCAGAGGCGTTCATTGAGATATAGAGGGCTCCCCAGTAGTCGGTGTTGCATATTGCCGAGCGTAACATAGCAGGATTTGGATATCGCAACGGCGAGTATTCGATCAATGTTGGAAAGTTATCCTCACGCAGGTCACTGTACGCCTGGCGAATTGCAGTTCCGATCTGCCCACCGCCGTCGTAATCCACAAACGCAACATTGAGATTGTGTGTGTGTCCCGCTTGTTGGTATAACGATCCAAAAATGTAGGAAAACAGTGACAGAAAAAGCAAAGTCAGGAGAAGTCCAAAGAGCGCTGCGGTGCGGAAAAACGTAAATCGCGACTTGCGGAGGCCAGGCTCAGAGAGGCTGAGGCGCCGCTCGTTGTGCTTGGGATAGAGAGCCATGGTTGCCTACTCTGTTAATGCAAGGCACATTCATGCCCTTAAATTTGTTTTGGTTCGTGAAAGGCGGGGCGTTTACTAAGCATTAGTAACTCGTACTTCGAGGTAGTTGCATTACTGGGCAAAGCTCTGGGATGAACTGGTAAATATTACACAAATTCCAAGAGCGAATCCTTGGTTTGCAGAATATGAATGTAGTTCAACACCGGCCAGAAGCTATTCATTCAGCATTCCTGTTAAGCGACTGCTTGGTCTACTTTTGAAATTAAAATTTCTTCAAGAGGATTCCGGGTTTTCCCGTTGAACGTCCCATGTCCGGCAAACCACAATTAGTCTTGTCCGGGAGGATTCTACAGCATGAATCAATCCATCCCCGTTCCCAACCCGTGGCCTACTATCAGGGTCCAGCCCACTGCTACTAGATAGTAGCATCACCTAATCGAAAATTAGAAATTACAAATGTAAAGGCAAGTGAGGGTAATGATCCTCAGTGGCGGATTCTACCCAATTTGGGTCCCATTATTTTACTAGGAACGTATTATCTATCAACCCTTCCGTACCTAAGCTCGCTTATACATTCTCCTTCCGGCCCCATGTTCGGGATATGAAGAATCCAGCGGATTTCCTGTGAAGCCACAGGAGACAAGGAACTTCCACACCTACTACAGGCAACCGCTTTCTAGCATGGGAAGGAAACTAATTCATGCAATTCTCTGTCTCGGCATCTTTTCTTTGGACCTCCCACTTCCAAGTTGATCTTCATCTAGCTCCTGTGGCAATCACAGAACCACTGCGAGAGTGAATTTCTCGTCAAGCCATTCTCACCTGGAAGAACGCTTAGTCTTACTCATAATAGCTATCCAACCAATCATTGGCCATACCGATAATTAAAGCCTCGTAGTTGAGCCATATTGCTGACCGAAGGCTTGGCGCATCTGACCTTGGGTCTCGGAGACGGATTTACGAAGGATTATTGTTTCAGCTTTGAAAGAAGCATAAAACGGAAAGTCTAGACATAGTGTTCAACCGTGCAGGTGGGCGGAGTGGACGCCTTACTGTTGATTAATTATGTGCCCCTGTAAATAGATCCTGAACACGCTCTTATCGCTGTCCTGAAACGACACAGAGACAGCATGATAAACACAACCCAAGCTGTAATACACTACTGACGGCTTTACACCCTGGCATGTTACACCGGACACCTCAATTGCTCAGTGACCTTCCGCCATGCTGCGTCTGCCCAGCCCCGGGGCCGTAAGAAGTAACATCCTCTTTGGGAAAGTGGAGTTGGTGCCGACCCCGCAGACTCGTTTCAGGGAACTGGGCATTTGGCATGACTTCGCCTAACAACAGCTACTGAGCTAGCGTGGAAATCAAACACCTCAGACGACCCTCACACGACGAACCGTTTTAAGAACCTTACGGCCAATGCCACCCTTTGATTAAGTAAGAGGCCGCCACTGTCCGGAGGACTTTTCACCTATACCTTCAGCACCTTTATCCTGACTAGAACATCAAGCAAAGGTGTCCAGATCACTCCAAATCCAGAAGACTCAAACGCGTTGGTTTTGGTCCGTGATCCACTGTCCAAGAAGGATTGCCTGTTGACAATGATTGGGCCATGTCTAGTTCCTCACTAAATCTAATTTCGGAGCGTTCTTGATGACCAATCACAAATGATATGGATAGGCATATAGCGTTCTTCACTACAATGCAGAAGTATGTTCAACTAAGGCATGACATATTGCGATTGATAGAAAATGTGGCAACTTAACATATGGCAACCCAACTTGAAGGGATACCGCTTCAATTCTACCTAGACAATAACGACAACTGATACTCGACCTACCCTATGGAGCAGACTTTTCAATTCTCCTCCCACCACAGCACGTGTTTCAAATGACAGTTAACTGCAATTACAGGTTGTTTTGAGCTCAAGCCATAGTCTCTCGAATCAGGTTCTCAAGGTCCTCTGTGCTCATCTCCGGAATTCCAAGAAGCTTATTGCTGATCTTGTCGCTAAAATCACCTCCGTGCCCTGCACCCCAGCAGGCGCGGGCAATGAATCCGAGCGCCGAGTTGGCTACCTCCGAAGGATCGCTGCTCTTGAGCATATTGTATGATTTCTGCTCAACTTCCGCGGTCGAAACCACGGTCGTTGACCACTCCTTCCCGTCAATTCGCTTGGAGATATCAATAAGTTGGTTCTGGGTAATGGCGATGTCGTGGAAATAGATGTTTTTATTCTTAGTGGCTTCCAGATTCCGGACCATTCCAACTATGGCCTGTCCGATTGTTGCAAGCCGAGTCGCGGAGAAGGGGACGTCGCCACCATCGTAAAGTGTAGCGCTGTGGTCTTTGAGGTTGACCATGAAACCAATTTGAAGCTGCCAGTCGAGGAAGGAGTTGTTGTAGGCGAATGTGTAGCTGAATTCTGGATTTTGGGCAGCCTTTTCCTGTAGATAATCCTGCGTCTTGATCTTGTCCGCGTAGAGTGGCAGCTTTCGGACGAGTGGGTTTGCTGAATCATTTCCGAACTCGGAAGGAATGAAGCGGGTGACATTTGCCTCCAGCGAAGCATCAATGAGCTTCTTCTGTATGGTGAACAGATTTTCGAAGCCGAGGGTTGATACAACCACGCTAATAGGCTCAAGGGCGGAAACTAGAGACTCGTGCGAGCTGTAATCGACTTCTTGAACCTTCAGAAATTTTTCGGAACCAGGCGGGACGGAGACCTTATGAGCGCTTCCTACTCGTGTAAGGACTGTAGTTTCGAGCGAGGCTGCAAGAAGGGCCTGCAGGATGGAAGGACCGAGGTTTCCGGTAGCGCCAACGAGAGCAACACGTAGTGAAGACATGACAGGCAGAGTGGAAGAATTTTAATAGCTGATGAAAGAAGTTTTGATTGTAATGTGCCAGTGCTTTTGTCACCGGAAATGAAGCGTTTATATATTTTCTCATGCAGTTCATCTCATGATCATTGCTTATTATGGTTCGGACATCAGAGTAATGACAAATCGGGCCAAGACCATCCTTACGTCATGAGCAGTAGACCAGATTCTGGCAACAGCGAATCTTGTAAATTAGGTAATAAAGCCTTTTGGATTGAAAATCGCAAGAAGACTTGACCCTCTGCTGCAAAGCCAAATTTGGCGATGGAATGACAGCTCCGGTGTGGGTGCGCTAACTTCGAGTAGAGAGGGCACATTAGTCGGCTTGGCCGCATGTCCCGCAGCTGCCCCTTCAAACTGGGTCTGCCGATCACTTGAGCTCTTGAGGATCTGACTGCACAACGTGGTTGCTGACCAATTTGGTCTGGTCGATTATGTTTCATGTGGAAGGTTCGAATTTTGACCATAAGATATGGGAACTCAATGCCAAACTCTAAACGAAAGTGTGGTGGACATGCATTTCATTAGCCAGAAGTAAACTCCCGATTAGGAAGTGGAGCGGTGAGCCCGCCCGTGGGCTCATGCCCAATCAATTGTCGGGACAACACGTAGAAAATGTGCTTCGGTTTTAAGATTTCTAAGATCTTGCCGCGTATTTGGTAGCTTAGTAATTTGGAGCCAAGGATCTAGACATCACTCACTCCAGATGTGCCTCCCCCGGAGAAGTAAAGAGAGTATTAATCTCACCGGAAAAGAATGTCGTTGGATACGGAAATTATAAAGTCTTCAATCGTCCACCCTTTAGACCTGTAGGCTTACACAAAGATCTTGTTTACTTAAGCCCACTTCTCTTTTACCTTCCGAGTTTCAGCAGTACTCCAACCACAAACAATGACCTCCCGCTTCCACTCCCCAGTCGAAGATGTTTCGCCATTGGCGCAACCGCTGCGCTTCGAGTTCAGCCAAACAACAGCCCCCAATAGGTTCTTGAAAGCCTCAATGACGGAAAAGCTCAGTTCATGGGATCCCCAGAAGAAAGAGGCTCGCGGAGTTCCATCGACTGCGATACACAATTTGTACCAGCGATGGGGGGAAGGCGAACTCGGCCACATCCTGACCGGCAATATCATGTTGGCATATGACCAGCTTGAAGCCGCGGGCAATCTCATCATTCCCACGGACGCTCCCTTTGAGGGGCCACGTTTTGAAGCCTTCGCCAAGCTTGCTTCGCTCGCAAAGGCTCACGGTAGCCTCATTACGGGCCAGGTCACGCACCCCGGACGACAGGTTGACCGCAGAATACAGCCTAATCCTGTCTCTGCGAGTGATGTGCAGCTCCAAGGAAAGGTTCTCGGCCTTGAATTTGCGAAACCCCATCCCGCCTCCCAGGAAGAAATAAACGAGATTGTGCGCAGTTTCACCTACGCGGCGCAGTATCTGCAGCGTGCCGGATTTGACGGCATTGAACTGCAAGGTGCACACGGATATCTCCTTTCCCAATTTCTCTCGCGAACCACTAATTTTCGCACTGATGCGTATGGCGGTAGCTTGCAGAATCGTGCTCGCCTAATCATGGAGATTGCGCAGTCTATTCGCGCAAATACCTCTCCGGACTTCATTCTGGGAATCAAAATCAACAGTGTGGAGTTCCAGTCTGGCGGGTTTACGGTGGAGGAAGCACGAAATCTCTGCCAAATGCTTGAAGAAGCGACATTCGACTTTGTCGAATTAAGCGGTGGCACATACCAGGCTATGGCATTTAAACACGAGCGCGAGTCTACGAGAAAGCGAGAAGCATTTTTCCTGGAGTTCGCGGACATGATCGTTCCTTCACTGAGCAAGACAAAGACCTATGTTACTGGGGGATTCAGAACACTACAAGGGATGTTGGAAGCGCTGAAGTCAGTTGATGGGGTTGGTCTTGGGCGAGTGATCGCACAGGAGTTTAGTCTCACCAAAGACATACTGAATGGTACAATTACCGGTGCCATCGACCCAAAAGTCAACCAAGACGACTTTGCCTTGACCAATATCATTGCAGGAACCCAGATGCGGCAGGTAGGTAAAGGACAGGAGCCGATTGATATGAGCCAGGAGGAGAACGTGCGTGTTTTCATGAAGGCGATGACAGCCTGGGCCCAACGGATGGCAGATGACGGAGAGACGATGAAGCTGTTTGGCTATGTAGATCTGGAACTGTAAAGAAAGAGTCCTTCATTATAAAGACAGTCTATTCATGTTTAACGAGTTCTCTAAGCTGCCCCGGCTTGCCGTAGGTCATCCAATGACTCCTCCATGCAGTGAGAGTGTTTTCATCCCACAAATGCCGCTTCGCTATCATTTCCACGTCAGCCCAGTCGTTAATCCATTCCTCTTGAAGAAACACATCCCTCATTAGCTGACCGGCCCGCAGCTTCAGATTAGCACCAGCCGTAATTGCCACCTCAGTACCAACAAGAGTCGCCCAAACTCTCAATTCACCGTAGCACGACTTGCCCTCCGCACCGAAAGCAGACATCTGCCTTCCCATCATCCCGAGCTTATATATATAAGCAACCTCGGGAAACATCTGCATCTGTGCCGTGCGACGCGTGAGAAACGCAACCATGCCCAAGCAGGCCAGACGCTCGACCACATTTTGTGACCGAGTGAGTAACAGGCGCGCTCGTCTAATTCCCATGGTTTGCCGCTCGGCTGTCTGGGTGTCGTCTCCGGCCTCTTTAAGCTGCTCCTCGAGAAGCAGAATAAATTCAATGCTGAGATTTCCCAACATCGCCAATTCGCGAAAGCCTTTAGGCAAGACATTGATCGTCATTCTCAGCTTTCCACTAAACTGAGTGCCTGGCTGCAGGTCCGGGTATCGAAGCTCTGAGTGAATCGTAACGGGCATTCCGGAAAATCCCACAACACTGCTTGACGAATCATGCTGTGTTTGCTCACTTTCATTTTGAATCGCAGAGGCCATTTCTGTACCCTCGACTAACCCAGCAGCTTGTAGAACAAAAAGATCCTTCAAGCATCCGCTCGCAACCCTGCCCCTCATCTGCATCATCCTCAGCAACCCCTGACAATGCGCCCGGAACTCAGTTTCATAACCGAACCGGGCGGCAGCTTCCATTAAGTAAAAGGTCGATAAAATCGTCTCATTTGATGTCCAGGTTGCGGCTTGGTGCTCAGTCAATGGTCTTGTCCCTGTCCCTGCGCCTGTTGCGATCTTGGCTTGCAGCGCCTTCAACGCTCGTGCCTTATGCCATAACATTGTGGCGGTTGGTGTGACCTTGTCTTCCAGTGCGGTGATCCGTACGCCATGTGTAAAAGCCGCCACAGCGTCAAACAATGCAACATCTGCGCAGATCATTTGTACCCAGCAGCGAACAAACGGATTAGCCCCAGGGCCCCAGTGCATCAGGCGGGCCGCCAGGAAGTGAATGTCTGTCATTTGAATGGAACTTAATACCGAATGTAACCAGCTGAGCTCTCGCATGGCAGGGGGTAGGGCGCGACTCACGCAAATCCAAAACATCAAAGACTTTCTCTCGATGCTCCGGCGGGTAAGCAGGCACAAAACATTCTAAGACAGGCCGCAGTAGCAAAATCCCATTCTCGTGTTCAATGCCGGGTCTTGAGTAATGAGGTATCTCGGGCCTAGCGATTTCCTCTTCTCCCACGGCCTCTGGGTCATGGTTGGCCTTGTAGTCCAAGACACGAGACGGCGATCCTCGAATGACAATTTGTGTTTGAACCTCCATCGAAGGTGTCATTGGCTGCAGGAATGGCCGAGCCATCTCCTGGTTGCCATTGGCGTCCGGGGCTTGCTGCGCTCGTTTTGCAGGGGCTGAACGATTTCGATAGTGCTTTCCGATGTAGGAAGATACTTCCCGGCGTTGGGTGCGGTTTGGCCGGTGATTCGAAGGATCATAATTCACAAATGCATGCTTTCTGCTTTCATCCATAATTTCCAGTTAGTGGACCATAACAGTGTGGATTGGTAGTAAGTAGTGAATTGCAATTTTGAGTCAATATAAATGATAAAATTAGGGCCATAGTCACGGTGTTCAAGTACGCTATGGAAATGATCACCGTCACCGTGAAATTCTTTCCGAAGAGGACTCCCGGATGCAAAACCCGGCCTAATGAGTAATTGGACGCCAAGTATTTGTCATCACCCAATCTTTCCTGCTAACTAACTAAAGTACGACCGGGCGGGCCACCCTACTGACCGGCTCACGCACCCTTTAATGGGAGTTCAAATCCAGACATTATTCCTGACTTCCTGTTTCCTTTGCTTAGTGGTGCCCCCGCACGGTCGCTGTAACGGGCCAGAGCCCGATGATGAACTGCCGTGGGAAAGTGGAGAGATTTATTAACTTACAGTGAGATTAGATTGCTCCATTTCGGACCGAACTTTCTTGTGTTTGTATGTAATATACGGGTGACACCTCGACAACGGTATTGTCATTTAAATACCCGTTTACACCGTCATGGCACAGCTCACCCTGCCCCTTTCCCCATAAGTTCGAATCATTTTCTTTCCTCAGTCAATATTCCTCTCTTTGGATGATTCCGTCAGTTCCTATTCGTCCTTATGCCTACTAGCCTATACCATTTCAGCTCGTTTTGATATGAACCATGGGCCATGGGCTCAGGCGTTTTGACAGGCTGGAAGGTTACCGCCTCCGGCAGAAAAGGGAACACTACCACCTGCCTGGAGAAACCGTAGGGACTGCCCTCCTCTCTTCAAAGATTGTTGTGAACATCGTAACGGCCTAGATTTAAAATAATCATCCTGACTGCCATTACTACCACCATTAATATACTAATCAGCGATCACAAAATCAGGTTCATCAACGTCATTTTTGTCTCAAGGATCTAGAAAATCATTCGAAGGCAAATTCTATTTGTATCCCCAACCACAACTGCAGGAAACAGGTTAACTTAGCTCTACATGGTAGAGAGGCATTGATATACGAGTTTCTAGCGTTCGTTGAAGTAAAGATCTGTTTAATACTGGGACTACATTTTCAATAATAGTGCTCTTAATACGCAGTGATAGACGCCAACTGTTAACTAGTTAGTTAGTTAACTAAGTTAGATAACTAACTAGTTGAGATATTCCGTGCCGTATTGTACAATCTCAACGAGGTGGCCGATGAAGGGAAGCCTGCTGCGCTCCCGGTAAATTACAGGGGCTTGACATTACTCAACGTGGTTGTGCAAAGTGGAACAGTCCAGATAATCATCGATTTACCTAGCAATACTCAGCTTGTGAAAATTGTCTGAACGGCTAATATAACAGCGCACTGACCTCCCGAGGCCACTGATAGCGCTAGCGCTGCTGCATCTCCGATGACTACATTCTCAGCACTGTTCCATCAACATATTACAAGTACGCATCAAGCAATAATCAACTGTCGAGAGGAAGTATGTCGTTCATTGTAGGCCTGAATCCATTGGACGTCCTTTTCTACTGTGTTTCTAAGTTATAATATATGACTTTTTGTAAATTGTTACATCATTACGCGAACAGACACGTAGGCTGGGAGTTGTGTCCTCCCTAGGACGATAGCGGCACCAAGAAAATATAAAGCTCAGTGAGCGGGATATTTGTCCGGGAGATTTTCGAGTCTTCAGAAATTTAGAAGTCCGACCAACGAGTGTGGCGGCTGTTTCGCCTACATCAAATAGATTGACCCTTTGGAACCACAGAAAAGAGTCTGGAGTTACCTAGTTCTTACTCACTGATACAGCTTCATGATTAATTACTCTCCTAGATCCTCCCTGGAATTATTCAATTATATGATTTATTACCTCATCTCCTAGATTACTCGGGGAACTCCACCGCCGACAGGTCAAAGTGAGCCCAGTTAGTTGCCCCTCCTCATCCAGTGCAAACAAGGAGGATCGCCGCTCCCAGCGCTTTTCCTCCGTTCCCTGGTAGCCAGGTCAGATCGTCCTGAAGCTCCAGCTCGTTTATACAAGCTCGAACTCCTCCTCAATTGCCGTTTTTATTTTTTTTCGTATCTTCATTACTTTTCTCCTCCTCTCACCATTTTCTACCTACCTGGGGTTTTGCTGTTAGAATAGAGGCAATTGGCGGCCATGTCGATCAAAGGGACCCTCTCTAAAACCATTCGGGGTCATGTCAATGATGATGACTCGTCGGGCTCCCAAAATTGCATTTCGCTCTCTCTCGGCCCTTCCACGCCACGTACCTCGACCTCGCACGATTCTCATGCCCCGCATTCCCCCGTCGCATCTCTTCGTCGCAGCATTCTAGGCAACTTCTTCTCTGAGAAGAACTATGCTACCTCTTCTGAGGACACCTCTGATGATTTACCGTCTACGGGAAACTTGAGTAAGAATTATCAGAAACGACTCGTGCGCCAACAGCATCGCAAAGAACTGCCTGCACGTTATGCGTCGCATGAGTGCGAAGCTGGTCTTCCTCGTGTTCCGCAAGCAGCTATCCACATTCCAAGGTGTGCTGCATGAGAAGCCAGGCGTCTCCCTTCTTGCCATGATCTCATGGGCTGAAAATCTTCGCGTGGGCTCTTTCCTGCGTGTTCGTGGCAACATTCAAAGGCCCGATGCGTCCGTTCTGGGCTGCAGTATCCACGATGCCGAGCTGGCCATCGATTCTTTGCACCTTCTTGTCAATCGCGAGGAGCCCCTCCCTTTCAGTATCTACGAGGCTGAAATTCACAACAAGTAGGAGGAAAAGGCAGAAGGTCGCCACAGCCATATCCCTGACCGCACCCGCCTCAGCAATTGCTTGCTTGACCTTCGGACGGCCACTTCCCAGTCTATCTTTCGCCTGAAGTCGGCTGCTTGCAATTTCTTCCGTAGAGCCCTCGATGAACAAAGTTTCATTGAGATTCATACTCCCAAGCTTCAGGGTGCTGCCACCGAGTCTGGTGCCAGTGTCTTCCAGGTCATTGACTTTGGCCGCTCTGCCTTCCTTGCCCAATCCCCCCAGCTGGGCAAGCAGATGGCTATCACTGCCGACTTTAATCGTGTATATGAAATTTTTGCGGTATTCCGTGCCGAAAACTCCAATACCCATCGCGATTTGACCGAGTATACCGGTCTGGACATTGAAATGGCCATCGGGGAGCACTACCATGAGATGCTAGAGACTCTGGACGCGACCATCAAGAACATCTTGAGCGGCATATACAACAATTACCGCCCGAAAATTGAGACGGTCAAGCATCAGTTACCATCCCAGAACGTCGTGTGGTTGGGGAAGACACCTATAATCCGCTTCACTGACGGCATCCAGATGCTGAACGACTCAGGTTGGCGGGGCGAGGAGGGCAATCTGCTTCCCGTGGTGAAGATTTGGCCACTCGTGATGAGATCCGCCTTGGCCAACTCGTCAAGGAGGAGCATGGTACCGACTACTACATCCTTGACAAGTTCCCCCGCGGTGCTCGTCCCTTCTAAACCGTGCCAGATCCCGAGGATGACAAGCTGACTAACTCTTTCAACATGTTCGTCCGGGGCCAGGAAATCGTGTCTGGTGGCCAGTGCATCCACGAGCCGCACAGGCTCGAAGAGAACAGGCGCAAGTGGGGCATCAATCCCGAGGATATGGAGGAATATCTGGAGACTTTCCGCTGGGGTGCTCCACCTCATGCCGGTGCCGGTGTTGGCCTCGAACGTCTGCTGATGCTCCTACTCCAGGTGGGCAACATTCGTCTCACCTCACTCTTGCACCGTGATCCCAAGAGTTTGCTTCCCAAGCCGCGCGTTCAATAGCTTCGTCATCCCGAGGGTTCCACTGTCGAGCCGCCATGGCAAGAGCGTACGCGCGTGGCTACCGATACCAGCGAGCTCCAGCCGCTGGAGAAGCATATTGCCAACTATGGAGACGCCTCATCCACTTCGTGGTTCGATGAGCAATTTAAGATCTGGCGTGATATGGCTACTGGCCGTAGCTCATGTGCCCAGCAGCAGCAAATACGTTATCATCTCCGGTAACCTCGCGTGTGATCCTTCTCAGTACTCTCGTACCGTAACGCAGAGCCTGCAGTGGGTACGCCGGGAAACAAAGTACAAGCCAGTCTGGATTCTCTGCTCTCCAAAGGTAGAAAATATCCTCGGAGAGTGCCTAGGATAGCGCAGATTGTCCTGCATTGCCGAAGAGCGTGTAGAACCCTCACGCAACAAAACCGGCTCTGACGGCGAGATTGCCCGCAAATTGCGCCGTGCCGAGAGCATCAACGTTGTGCCTCTCAACCAGGGTGAGCTGGCCTCCGAGGAAATTCGTCAGAAGATAGATCACCGCATTGCCGAATGGCTCTTCAACCGGAAGGGCACTCAAGTGCATCTCTCCGAGATCCGCCCGTAGATTGACTCTGAGCACCGCTGGTATTTCTATGCCCTTGACAAAGAGGGAATCATCTGTGCCTTTGTCGCACTTGCAATGCTCTCCCCTGCCCAAGGCATGCAGGTCAAATACAGCTTGGACTTCCCCAACTCGCCAAACGGTGTCATCGAATACATCGTTACACAGGCCATTCAAACTGCTTCCAAGGGCGGTATCAGTGGTCTGAACTTTGGTGTTGGTGCTACCAGCAGGCTCATTCCCGGCCAGAACCTGCATGGTGCTAAGATCAAGATGCTGGAGCGCACCTACGAGACTCTGTCCAAGCAATTTCACTTCGTACGGAAGAGTGAGTTCCGTGCCAAGCTAGATGCTACCGAAGAACCTCTTTACATCTCGTACCCAGCTCACGGTCTTGGTTTTAAGGGTATTCGTGCGATACTGAATTTCTTGGAGAATTAAATTCATTACGCATCTCATTTGGATGATTTGGGTATATTCTCCTATTCTCCGAAGGATTTATAATCCAATGATACTTTATCGATTGGCTATCCCGGCCAGGGTTTAGATTCGTTATTCCGGTATTGGGATATGCTCCCTATAGAGCTACTGAAGGTCAGGAGTTACTCGATGGACATAAGAGGGTGACAATCGGAATATAAGATTTAGGCAAGAAGGATGAATCTGGATTTTACCGGCGTTGGAATTGCGACATTCCCCTTCTTGTTCAGTGGATTTTGATGCTCAATTTTTGCATCTCTGAGTTGCACATTCGTTTACCTAGACATATCGTTCCCCGCCCTATATTTACCCACCACACGCATTTTCCATTGGCTTTACTGATGTAATTTGATGCCCACATGCTGGAGATATGCTCATTTAGCATTAGTGAAAATAACTTGACCTACTATGCATAAAACAAATCTGGATGGAAACTACTCAATATTTTCCAGGTATTATTCACAGATTCGCAGATCTCACAGTACCGTCTCGAAGATAAAGACCAGTCTTCTATTTTGGGACTCAGTATTTCCCGGCCCTTGAAAATGACATACCACTCCAAAGCTGCTCTAATCATCATGCTAAGAACAATTCCAAGACAAGTGCATACACATAGATTTTACTTCACTTTCTTCACTTTCCATCCCTCTCCACTGTCGAATTGTCTGTTGCCCTTCCCAGCTCACGTACCACCCACCCACCTCGTAATAACCGGCGCCAGAACCACAATAACGACAACAATTCACCCCGCTGCCGGTACCAACAACTGCGAAAACACATTTCATGGAAACGGAGCGGAAGTCACATAGACCACGACGGGCGGGACATTTGTATCATCGCTGAGTCGGTCACGAAGTAATCTGCTGCGGCACGGATGCGCAAAGAGAGTATTGAGTCGCCGGCTGGGGCGGGATCTGCCGTGAATGAGCCCTTGTTTCGTCGATCAAAGGTGTTGAGTTCAAGTCAGGGGACTGAAATAAGAGGCTCGACAAGGAGAAGAGAGTGAGGGAGCTGAGGAGGGTTGCGTCTTGTATTGTGCTGAGGAGGGTGACACTTGAGAAGATGAAGGATTTTGATTGCTGGTTTCGATATGCGTGATGGATTTGGATTTCGGAGAGGCGCGATATGAAGTGTAATGACAAAAGCATACCTTGAAAGCCATTCGGCGGTATAAATTAGGTTCTATCGTTATGTTGCGGTTTTTCTGCTTATGGAACGATATTCCTATGTGATGACGCCAGGTATCCCTCGACTGCCGGCTCACTGGCTCAGAGAATGGAAATCCTGTCTGAGACTGCTCGTATTGCGTATACGGAGCCCAGTAGTGCCGGCTCTCACCAATTCCAAGTGTAAACAAGAGAAGTCGGTGTAGTAGTTCTCATGGCCTTGCTAATATTCTTTTGGAGGAAGGTATAGGCCTACGGACAACGTACCTGTGAGTTCCACGAGGCACCTGATAACAGTGTTTATCTTTCCCCAGACCATCATAAGTCCAATCAACTTGCCTAACTTTGGCAACCACCTATGAATGGAGATTATTTGAACCGGACTGCAATGGCTAGGGCTCAGTCAGAGGTGAATGCTGAAGCAGACGGTTAGAGGAACCGTTGGAACTGAATGGTACTTGTTAACTGCTACACAATATCACCGGCGTTAACGGTGTGCCTATTTTAAATCGCGCTAGTACTGAATAGGTTATAACGAGTCGGTCTTTGTCCAAAGTAGTCATTCACTGCCCTCTGCTTCCTCCCATCTATCTGTATCCGACAAAAGAGATGGCCTGTCCTCTCTATATCATGCAGATCTCCCCCAGTAATACCCTCTTGGCACTGAGGAAATTGCAGAGCTCTAGTGAGAACTTGAATGGCCTCAGCAAGCGATGGAGTAGTTAGTAGTGATCAGGATATACATTTTTGCTGGTTATTATAGAGATTCCTTCAACTAGCTAGGATACATGCCAGTCAATCAGGTGGGAGAAAGGAACCAAGTCGAATTTTTCAAAGATGTCACAATTTTTTCATTGAAATTTCACAGACACCTTTTCCATGACTCAATTCTTGTATGGTCTTTTTCCAAATGAGTAGTGAGGATAATCGCAACATCGGAGAGGAAACATGAGATGATGATACCTCCCCCAGAGGAAACTCTCTTGAGTTGATAACAAGAGATGAGCGGTCCACCGCCAAAGGGTTACAGTTCTTCCAGTGTTATGTGACCTTGTCAAACCTCACCTCTAAGGATAATATATTGAACACCCAATTTGCAACCCAAGTAGGCCGCAGTACCCCGAAGGTGCAGCGAATCGACAAAGCGAGGGCGGGCAGATCGCATGGACATTGTTTACAATTCGATCTTCACCAATTTGGATCCAATCGTTCATACCTGTGTGCCAAACTACCAAACCCTATACGAACAGCTTGCGTATCTCCACCTTCGATCCGGTCCATCAACAGCTGCAGAGGAGGATGTCCGTGCGAATGGAAGCGAGTATCACCATTACCGCCAAATAGGGGTTCCAATATTGATCAGTCGATCAACGAGTAAAATTTCCTAAGAGAGCTGGGGACTAGGTTAGATATACCAGCGCTAACGAGAATTTGCTCCCCGTTGTCAAGCATCTATTCCTGGTATGGTGGTAGCTGAGATTTGAAACAATCGTCTTGCACCCGGGTGAGCGGGATACGCGCGATCTGATCCAAAAAATCCAGAGGAACCTACCGTGAGATACACCCACAGAGAGCAGGCATTGTTACGACTTCAAAGGCATCGCTTTCAACGCTGCGAGGAGTTGGGGAACAAAGATCAAAGAAACCCCCAATATCCAGCGCAGAAACCAGTGAATCAACACCCACAAGAAAGGTTCTCACCACTTAGAAGCGCTGGCGGCCATGTGATAATAAAGCTCACAGGCCCTGGGACTACTGGATAAACCACGGAAAGTAGCATTCTTTGGATGAATTGGTCTCAAAATAGAAAATCAAGCGAGTAGAAGGTCATTTCGCGCAGGATGAAGCTTTGAAGGCCTGAATAGAGAAATCTGTCAAGGCACTTAATGAGAGAAGCAATCTCGTTCCGCATATCACAGTACACTTACCCCGAGAAAGTCTGGAGTTCGCCTCCCTCAACGGCATTGCTGTTGTTGATGAGACCCTTGCTGTCGGTCTGAACATCGACTTATCAATTTCCGCGAGTACTGCCGTTCAAATTCGGTCACAGGAAATCATTAACAACACCCGGGAGCCTCCAAACTAAGCCCTTCCCAAGCTCGTGGCTCAGGAAAAGAACCCCACCAATGCTGTCATGTCATCGACTGGCAACTAGCCTGCTTGTCACGAATGAATGTCTAAACGATCAATATCACATAGGTAAACGGGTCTTTTGTCAAAACGGGTTTTCTGGTTGAACAGGTCTACGAAAAAGTGAGAATGACGGGAAACAATGATGTAAGAGAGCGTTGGTTTCTCCATACCCGAAAGACCTACTCACCACGTTCAGAGTGGTAAAACCAGGCCTCCAAGCGAGAGATTCGATAATTGTAGTATATAACAGTCTATCCGACCAATTCAAGCTAGGAACGTCTCTTATTTGCCTAAATACCATGCCTGTCTGAAGCCCTACGCCCCTCTTGAAGAGAAACGTGTACGCTCGAACGAGAATATTGAGTGCATCAAGGATCCCAATGGCGACGCAGTCATTAGCGTGTGTCTGCTCAAACCTCTAAAGCTATGGGCATTTGACCTGAGAAGAGCACCAATTTTCGCCAGAAAATACTCCCCACGAGCACGCACACGCAGTGTGCATATCAGAGAAACCCCTCGTTTTAGAACCCCCCAAAAATTGATGGGACCGTAGACTTGCTCACATATCCACGCGGGTGATGAAGAAGACTGAAGTAATGGTAGACGGTGTTAGGCTCAAGGAAGATCAACTAGAAACAGCAATTGAAGATACAGAGTTGTTTCGGGTCCGCAAACTTTCAAGTGCAACCGAAACAGATGCCACGACGTCCGATTGCGCAGAATTTGGTAAACATGGCTGAATCCACTTTGACACGGTCCAATTTCCACCTAAATACAACTCGAGAAGTCTGTGACTTAGTTATTTTCTTTGACCGAAAACAATACCAAATAGGAGGCGCTGATATTGACTAGATTATTTGAGATCTTCACAACTGACACCTCCGTCTTCTGCCCGGGTTAGTAGTTATCACTTTCTGATGGTTCGTTTTATCACATTCGATATTTAAGCATTTAGTCCTAGAGTGAGTTGTAAATATCGGAATAGTTATCGATTATCAAGTGTAGATGTATAATAGGCGATAGGTTGTCGTGCTGTCACTGTCAGGTAACGCCCGTCAGGGAATAAAGGACATCGACGACTAGTTTGGAAACAAAGTTCATAAGTGAGTCATAAATAGCTGTGGAGTGGTTCGAACGCCCAATAAGACACTTAGGTATTGGGTGTCATTGAAGGCTTTTGTTCAAAAGACGGCTGGTTGTCCACTTGTTTGCCAAAGCTCGGAGCCTACTGGCGTCCTGTCTCACCAGCCACAAGAAGAGGCATCCCTGGAAAATCCATTGTAATGCTGCGCCGGCCACACACTACAGCGGTTGACGGTCGTATGCTGCAAATTCGGTGCATAACTGAGCTTCTCAGCAGTCTTATGGTCTGGTCTTAATTGGATTTGTAATGGGGATGATGTTACAATGTCCGAAAATCACCAAATCTTCTAATACGGGCGTTTCATTGAGAAACGGCGTTATCTCAAGTCATTTCCGGCTTGGGATGCAAAAGCTAGTGTTGCATGGCGCCACAACTCTGTTTTGCTGGAGGCCAAGGCACGGTCATCACAACCACCCAACCGTGCTTGGAACAAGGCCAACCATTTCTGTCCGTCGAAACCACGAATGACCGAGACGTGGCTATTATGAATCCTTCCCTGGATGGGGTTACTGGACACA